TATGAAATGAAGGGGCGATTATATTTAAACTACTTAAAGGTTTAGCACCACAAAGACCAACAAGTCAAAACGGGTCAAACTTCTAGTTGATTTAATTAATGAGAAATTACCTACTTATTAGTGGAGTTTAAGAGAAAAGTCAGTATTTCTCCAAGATATTTCTCTATACCTACCTATACAGTTTCTTTAAATTTCATATATAGACAATTCCAGACTTCTTAGAACTTTTTCTGATAATCTTTCATTTCAAAATGCAAAGATTCACTTTGTGGTGAATAAAGCTGGCAGAGCGGCACCTGCTACCAACAGACAGAAGGATGAAAGACGAGGAGGGAAGGACACAGAGCATGAAGAATGAATATAAGCAAATTACATAAGGCTCAAGGAAGCACTGAAAGAATAACAAATGGTGGGAAGAAAGGTAGTAGAAAAGAATGGAAGAAAGTAGCATTATAAGCAAAGAAGGATGGATGAACAGAGAGGAAGCTGATTCTGAGATGGATGAATGAATATAAGCAAAGAGGAAAAGGAAGGACTCAGAGAAACAGAAACGAGGGCATGGGGAGTGAGATGAGATGCATGATAGTAAAGATGCTAAGAAGGATGCAAGTAAGAGAGCAAGGGAGGAAAAGGTATAAAAGGAACGAAATAGTTCCTTATTTTAGGTCTTAAAATGTATTTCAAAAAAGATTGACTCTATTGCATTCAATGACAACCTTGATAAGCTAAACATTTCCATCCATCCTTTTATTTTGGATTTAGGCTGGAGGTTTTCTCCCCAAAACAAATAAAAAATACTAGAATTTATAAAACATAGACATACTTATATCAGATAATCCATCCATCTGTTAATCAACTTTACCTTTCAGCGTCATGTAGGCCTGGTACCCAACTCGAGCAGCAAAAGGATAATTAATTAGAAATAAGTATTTTGGAATAAGATGACCCAAATAAGCTTTATAACCCCAACCCACAGGGGCTCGGGTAATATGTGGTAAAGCCAGTGGCGGTTCTAGATTAACTGTACTAGGAGGTGGGGGTGTTATGGGGGCACCAAAAAAGAAATTTAAAAATAGGGCAAAACTTCATCCTTTTATATATATTATTTGAGTGAAAGAGCCACTTGCAGCTCCGGAAACCTTGGATCTAAAAGATAAAAACTATGATCCAATCTCAATATGAATGAAATTTGAAGTGCAAAAACTTATTTTTTAAATCATCAGGGAACTAAAAATGTAAAAAATAAAAATAAAAAATACATAAAATGGTCCAATAGATCTATCACGTGTTTTCTGTTTCAGCGCATACCATATTATTTACTTATCAGAGGTGTCAAGTAACGAAGTACAACTACTTTGTTACTGTACTTAAGTACCCTTTTTAGGTATCTATACTTTACTCCATTACTTATACTTGTTTATAAATATATTAGTGCTGTCAAAATTATCGCGTTATTAACGCGTTAACGCGAGGCCATTTTAACGGCGATAATTTTTTTAACGTGAGATTAACGCTATGTGGTTTTATGGTACAATTTTCCAAGTACATCCCGCTGCAGCCTGCGGGAAGGCGGGGCTATTTTCCCCCAGTCTATGCATTTCTCATAGGCTTCAAGAGCTGAGCTCCTCAAGGAAAAAAGACGCTCATACACTGGGTGACGCTAGTGCCTTTAAGCCCCACCACCAACAAACAAGTTGAGTGTCTGGTAACTAGTAGCAACCTGAAATACGCTGAGAAAACAGATTACTGAGGTGAAATGGAATCTGCTACGGCACTCTTGCTGTCTGTGTACGCCACAGGTCGGTATCGTGTGTGTGTGTGTGTGTGTGGGTGGGTGGGTGTGTGTGTGTTCTCATTTTTGTTAAGAGGCTGAAAAGTAACTTTCTAGAGCATAGACTACCTTCATCTAGTGATGTCGGTCTATTGATTTTGATGTATTGATTGAAAATTGTTCATTATTACCTTGGTTAATTGACATCTAATGTTAACTACTAAATTTTATAGCAGTAGGGTAAAATGCTTGTCTTTGTTCAAAAGACTGTATTAACTGTAAAGACTGTCTTTTACATCAGCCTGTTTTCAGGGCCTTTTTTTTGGCTACATATTTGTTATTTTTTACTACATGCCTCCCCATCTTCTTGCCATGTTTCTATGGCATAAATCAGTGTCTGTGACCTGTTTTCATTTTAAAAAAAGAACATTGGCACAAACCTAGCCTGTATGTATTTTTTTGTATGTCATCGAGAGTATTTAAATGATTTTCAATCAGGAAAAAAATGTGCGATTAAAATGCGATTAATCGCGAGTTAACTCAGGCATTGATGCGATTAATCGCGATTAAAAAATTTAATCGATTGACAGCACTAAAATATATATTTCAGGTCATGTGCGCCATCCAGTGCAGATCATTGGCGCCATCCATGTCATATAACGCAAACACTCATTGGTTAGCTAAAGAAAATCATCAGAAGCAAGCAGGAGTTCCTTAAACTGCAAACGTGAATTGTCTATGCCATGCTACACTGTTGGATTCAGAAAAAGACGTTGAAATGTCTGAAAGGTCGGACACAGGCGAGAGCGTATCGGGAGATGGAGACCAACAAGACCTCCCTCATCCTTGGCCCTATCTCAAAGAATTTTTCTAAATAGTCAAAAAAATCAAGCTTTCAATTAATATAGTGGCATCTGGATGTTTTTTTTTTTTTTAAGGTTACTTTAAACTTTTATACTTTCAGTAGTTTTTGGAGCACATACTTTTTCACTTTTACTTGAGTAAAGAGGTCAAGTTGATACTTCAACTTTTACCAGAGTATTTTTAAACTGCAGTATCTTTACTTCTACTTAAGTAACAAATGTGTGTACTTTTGACACCACTGCTTATACATTTATTTTGTCTTTGGTGCAGTCATGACAGCTCAGCAGTTAACATTCATGATTACCTGTAATAACAGGATCCTTACATAAAAAGGGAAGTTAATAAAAATAACAAAATGTGTACCTGCAAATTTCTTCAATCCGCCTTTAAACTCCTCCAGCACTTCTTGGTGCTCTGCCCTGCAGAGAGATGCTGGTGAGTTTTAAGGAAGCAACCAGGGGTGTGAAATGGAAAGTGTGTCAGAGGTCCAGCTTACATGTTGGATAGGGTGACATGAGTGACAGCGGGGAGGCAGCTGATGGTGTGCAGGGTGTCCTGGGTGAGGTGGGGGACGCTACCCAGGTGCGTGTACAGAAGACATCCAGGAATATCCACCGAGTGTTGCCCCATCCTCCCTACCTCCTTCAGGAGACCCAGGCGACCCCTTCCTTGGACAACTCTGGACAGCTCCAGCTTCATCCTGCTGCCAGCCATCACTACAGGCTCATTAAAAATACCTCAAAAGCAACACTCAAGCATGGACATTAGCTACCTAGCTAGTTAGCTTTGTCAAACGAACGTTATGGCGCGAGAAAAGCGTTTACTAAGTTAATATGTTTACTTTAGAGTATAATGTGTTCAAGTAGCACGTTCAGAACAATAATATTTGTTATTTTCAAAGGCACGTTTTCGGCTTACCACTAAAAATTCGTAGAGAGAACAAGTCGGGGAAATATGACGTTAATGGCGATGAAACGTCAGCACGTATGCCATATTGTGAGTGGCAAGTTATTCTAGGGATAAATGGGATTTGGACCCAATGTGTACTTTTTGTGAAAATAATGAAAAAACGCTTATTCATCTTTTTGGGACTGTAATTATACCAAAATTCTGGAGAGATATGTCAAATGTTTTTCATAAAATAAATCTTAACATTACTTTAACAGAAAAGGATGTTTTGTTTGGGATGAAGAAATGTGAACTTGTCAAAAAAAAAAATGTATATGTTATTTTTTATTATTGTTTATGGTAAATATCACATTCACACCTCCAAATATTTATAACAAAAAACTAATTTCCAGATTTCATTATCATCTATTAATATCTATATAGAATCCTTAAAATTTAGTTCAAATGCTAAAGCCATGCAAATTATAACAGCATTAAAGAACTACAACCCTCGAGCATAGATTTGATTTTAACATTTTAAAATAATAGTTCTGTTCTGTGAAGCCCTTTGTTGTTTTATATGTTTGTAATTGTTAATGTTCTATATTGTTCGTGTACTTTTTTTTTTTTGCAAAAATAAAAAATTCTCCTAGGGGATAAACTGATTAATAAAAAAAAAAGACTAACAACTGGGTTCTCCTTGTATGCAGTAGGCCTAGCAATTATAAAAATGAGAATTCCATAGAAATGCTTCTCGTAACCATTTTATTTAATCCTATATTAGTATTTTAAAAAGGTTCTGTATAGAAATAATTTGCATTTTTTAATCAGATTGTATCTTTTCCTTTTGCTGGGGGAGTGACTTAAAAAAGCTCAACAAAAAGACTGGCTCTTTCCTGGGAACTCCTCTTCAACCTTTCTAGATGATTGTGCAAAAGAAGGAAAACATGCAATTCTACCATGAATCAGGTTGTTATACTAGAAGAATGTCTTCAGAAACTCCTACAAAAGGTCCATTCGTTCCACAGCACTTCTTGCTACAATGATTCCTTACAGATACCTGCATGGTTACATTTAAGCTCCCTTAGGGATATTTAAACTGAATGTAAAAAAAATAAAATCAAGGCATGCAAAAGGTCAAGAGTATTGGGTACATCTTATACTAAAATTTGAGCGAATCACTTTATTTTACAGTTATTTGAATCTAGGCCGTGACGTCACTGATGAACGACCGAATCCCCTCGCTGATCCAACTTTATCGGCTGTAGTCATTACAATATAACTGACCGGCAACTTGCTCTGTCTGTATGTTTACTCATTTACCAGCACATAAACTTTTTTTTAAGAATTTCGCAGAGGTGAACATCGTTGCCGTGGTAACACCTGTTAGCGTGTCAGAATCAGTAAAGTCCACTGGGAGATGTAGTTCCAAAAGTTCTTATTACCCCAATAAATCAATCGGAAGCAAAAAGTTGTGGCACTCCATTACCCAGAATCCTTTGCCATCGAAGTTTGCGTTAGTTAGGTTTGCGCCGTTGGTTTTCGTTTGTTGCTTTTTCCAACTTATTTCACTTTACAAAAATGTATTTAAGTTCACGGTGAAAGTAAAGAAGTCTAGAAGAGGATGAAAGTTCACATTGTAGTTTATTGTTGGTGTGTAAATTGGTGAGATGTCAACAGGTCAAAAGTCTCACTTGTTCAGGTGGAAAAGACTCGTTTCTCCAAACAAGGTAAGCTTTATTAACAGTTAAGTAAAACGGCCTATTAGCATTCTCATCTAACTTAATCGCTGTCTCATCTAGACAAGAAACATAAAAGTTTGTTCTCACATTTCACTCCCTTTTCTGCAACAGGTCAAGGCATTTGCAGGGCACATTTAATTAACAGTACAATCCAAAGTACTGCAGCCTACACACACGCACATAAGAAAAGAAAACGCAGAGAAAAGTACACTAAAGTGGTATAATGAAGGCAGATAGAGAAAAGCTAGACAGAAAAATGGAACTGCTCATTTTAATATTGAAACAGATCAATCAAATGTAACTCTAGACTTTAAACTTTATTGCCTTTTTGTATACACCATAAAAACGAAATTACGTTGCTTACATCTTCCAAAAGTGAAATAAACAGTTACGACAGTGGAATGAACATTACCGTTTAAAGTGCAGCATTGATCATCACGTAAACAGATTCGAAGAAAAGGAAAACCTGTTAAAAAAAAAATAAAAATAATGGCGCAAAAGGGCATTCATATGGAAAGGTTCAGTGAAGTGCAAAATGAATATGGTTCAAAATGCAGTAGAAGATTGAGTTGTGTCTTATTTTAAAGGATTATAAAAGTTTAAGCCACAATGGTGTTGTAAAATAATGTTATGAGTGTAATGTAGAGTCCAGTTAAGAGATTAAAGCTACAGTGTGTAATTTTCAGCGACATCTAGCGGTCAGACTGCAGACTGCAGCAACATGAACGTCTCCCCCCCACCGCTTCTCCCCCCCAACAGTACGGCGAGCGTTACGGGACAAAATGTCTTCCACGACGTCCGCATCACCTACCTTCTCAAGTGATGAGGTTTGTTTACATAGATAATTTTACAGATAGTATTTCATTAGTCTGTGTAGGGTATAGATTTCATGTAGACTTAAGATAATAAATATACCCGTTATTTTTTCTACGTCGTTGTGACGTTTTGGTGAGCTGCTTTGCATGGTGATATAAACAGACGAAGTAATTGTAGTCATTAGTTTAACAGCGAGATTGTGTTCGCTGGAAGAATATATATTCCCCGTTTACAGAGTCCAAGTCTTGTTTGTGGCACGGGGGTTACAAGGCAAGGAAGAGGGAAAGGAAGAGGGCAGAGAGGCCGGGGTGAGCGTGCAGCTGGGGCCAGGCGAGAGAGGGGAGCCAGCGGGGTGAGAGCAGAGGAGGAAAGGCTTGAAGATCTCCAAAGGAGCCGGAGAGAAGTAACCGAGGTATATATCCAGAAAATTATTTTACAGAAAATTACTGAATCATTACCTGTGAAACGTCAGGGACGTTGCTGAATAAGTATACTGGAGAGTAACAGCATCATCACGCAGCATGTTATTGTTTTAGACAGGTCTGAGCATCCTGTACTCCAAAAACTGCAGTGATATTAGACAATTGTGTGTATAGGATTAATTACCTGTCCAAGAGAAAACTGGCAACTTGAGCGTCACTTTGAAAACCTTTTTCCTCCATCAGTGACTTCCATCGTGTAAATGCCGTGCCAATGTTGATCCGTGTTTTTTGTCGTTTCTTGTCACTCTTGCGTTTATTCTCGTCGTGTTTCCGCTTCTTAGATGACGGGGGTTCGGTGTCCGCCGCTTTTCGTTGTGATACAGAGTAGGCATGATCCTCCATTCGTCTGATGTTTGGCCACACAGTGCCAAACAGTTTGCAAAGTCACTCACGCCTGCCGCCTTGTTTACCTTTCTTGTTACCGAGGCGCAGTATACCTGCTTCTTCTTCTTCTTCTTTGGTTTCAGGCAGACTAAACGCTTCTCAGGCATAATACTGCCATCTACTGTTCAGTACCGTCTCAGTTCATCTCTCTCAACTTGCCGTAGTTATTTTCGAGCGTCATGGGAGATCTCGCAATCGCTAGTTTGTTGCCTCTGCGCTGCCGTAGCGCAAAGATGTCAGCCTCCATGGCTGCGAGACCCGCTCCTATGTAATTATAAATAACGAATTCTAAGGCAACGCAAATGTTATGGTTAAAAGGCTGAGCTCATAGGTGATGATAAATAACATAGTTATGTATAATATATTAAATTTCTGAATTTATATGCCTGTAATTATTACACACTGTAGCTTTAACTGTTCAACAGTCTGATGGCATATAGCATATAGATTTTCAACTTTGAATTTAAAAAAACTTATATTTTCATCTGGGAGTTTGTTCCTAGCACTTTTTTTAAATAAAAATCTGATATGTGAGGCATCCATTTGTGCTTGATTCCCATACCAGTTTAAACGTTTTTACTCTTTCGATCCCCAAGAAAACTCCTTCTAGATGGTAAAGAATGGTAATAATATAATTTAGCATAGCTCTGTATGCTTTTTGAAAAAAAAATGGAGCTGTTGAGATGTTAGTGTGAAGTGGAATGAGCAGTGACCCTGAAAGACATGTAGTTAGAGGCTGCTCCAGCGTGGGGTGAAGGCTCATTTCCCTTTAAAGCATTGACAATAAACAAAGAAAAAAAACTGAAATGTATTGGTGTTTTGGTTTCAGATCAACCCGTGCCTTACAGGTTTTTTAGGCTTGATATTGATAATTCTGATATCTGTCTAACTCATCCACAATATGGGCTCCCAATTCTTTCATCTGATGTTTTTTTTAAGCCAATACTGCTTTATTTTTCACCTTTTACATGATAAATATGAAAAAATTATTATGAAAAGTCACACAAGTCTCATTATAACCCAAAAATTGACATTTATTAACGAATAAAACATAAACTAGAAACAAACTTGCAGAGTGCAGACCTCCCACAAGCAGCAAATTTTGCCCCATATTGTGACTTGCACTCAAAGCTAAAACTCACAAATGATCTGGATCATTATCAAATAGAAATTAATTGTTTTTTGCCTTGAGCCACACCTCTGGTAAAACATTTCCATAAAATCCATTCTAACGTTTTCAGTTGATGCTACTAACAAAACAAAAATGTTCCCTTTTCTTGTGATTTCTCTTTAGTAAAATACCTCCAGACTTTTTGAGTCCAATGCTGAGGCTGTCAATGGTCACTGCTGTCACCCTCTGGTTTAGTGGGGAACTTCGTGTTCCACCAGATATCCGTATCTCACAATGTTAGAGAATCGTTTTAAAGAGTGGCTGTATCCGGATTATGATCTAGATCATCACCAAAATGTGATGGATTGATAGACATGTAATTAAAATCTCTCCATAACTTTTCAAGTTATCCTGTAGACACAGACACACTCACAGATACTCGTTCTGCTAAATGTAGTGAGGACCATGTGTTGACTTCCATTGATTTTCATTTATTTCATTTTCAACCCTTTCTATGCCTTAACCCTAGTATTCCTGCACCTAAACTTAACCATCATCAATGCATACCTCACCCTAACCCAATTGACACTTTAGCCTTTAACCTAACCATTAGCAAAATAGCTTGTGAGGACCAACAAAACATCATCACTTTGCAACACATGGACCTCACTCTGATGGTGAAATTGGAAAAATGGTCCTCACTCTGAAGGCTAGGTAGGTAGGTACACACACACACACACACACACACACACACTCATACAAACACAGACAGACAGACAGACAAAATCTCCTAAAAACAACCTCCTTGGCAGAGGTAGCAATGGATGGCAAAAGGAGGAAGCAGCAGTGCATGTGCTTCATGTGGTCTCAAGGCATGGCTGCTGAATGCACTAATGATCTGATGAATGCAGGCATGTATCGGCTGATATCAATGCAAGAAAGAAATGCGAATATTAATGTGAAATATCAGCCGGTCAATGTATCACTCTACCTCTAGGTAAACCTTAAAATATTCTTTTTTTTAATTCAAGAGGTATGAATAGTTTTCAAGCCGTTGTACATGAATCTAAATAGTAAAGGAAGGATAAGGACGTTATAGAGCTAGAATATGCAGACGTGTAGGGTTTGCTAAGTGAATATTGAGTATCTCTAAGGTCTATTGTCAGATACTCTCACTCCTACATCCGTACACCCTTGCTGCCGGAGACTGAGATAGATGAATTGCTACCGGTAATCTGTTCACCTTTTGAAGTTTGGGAAAAGATTTTTGGGGTAATCTGTGGGTTTAAGGCAGCAGGTGAGCTTTCCTGTGAAATAATCCACAGACATCAGGGCCTTGCCTCAGCCCATAATTTGCACATTGCATCAGCAGTTCAAGGTGTCACTGAGCTCGTGTGTGGATTTCCCAAAAAAATGCTAACATGACAATGAGCCTTGGATTTCTTTCAGTTTCCGATTTTACCTGAAGGTATATATTTATGCCCTTTTCTAACAGAAACTTGTGAAGAAAGATGACATTGAAGAGTGGAGAAAGGTGAGACTTTTCCATCTCTTTCATTAAGCTGCTATGTCAAAGTCATTTGCTTTTCTCCATATTTAGGGCTGTTTTTATTTTTAGCTGCATTCATACATCTCATTACTCTTGTCTATGTCCTCAGCGGGTGGAGATGGCTTCTGAGTTTGCTATATCTGAAGTCTTCTCCCTTAGGAAGCCTCAATCAGGGATAAACAGAGGAGCTGAACCGCTGCAAAGCTCTGAACAGTTGATGGATCACGATGACGCCTACAGTGAAGGTAGGTCAGCTTATAGAGAACACTGAGGTTTGAGTGATTGGGAAATTTCCTGTGAATAATTCTACCAATTTTCAAAAATCTGAAGAAATTAGTCTTTTGGTTTGGCTTAAGCTTCACTGTGTGTTGTAGCTCAGGCTCTTTTAGATAATTGGCTGAGTGATAAGTTACGGACAGAGCTGGACATGGAGGATAAAGATGACTGGAAGGGTCATGTTGAAAACACGCAATCTACTGCCATAGCTACTCCCCAACTGACTCCAATCGCTTACAAAAGATTTGACGGTAAATATTTTTGTTTTTAATTCAGCAGATTTATAGATTTTAATGTTTTTCTGTCTCCTGCAGATTTTAGCTGGCACTGGAAGACGAAAAAATTGACATAAATCAGTTTAATTAGCTGAAAAAATAACATTATTGTTTGGAAAAAATAACATTATTGTTCCAAATCTTGTATCAGATCTTTATAGCTGCCTGGTTGAAGAAGAAGAACAATTTGCTGTTCAGAGCTTCCTTCAAGACCTAAGGGGCCAAAAGCTGTTGGACTCCGGTACGAAGAAGGGGTTATCTCTGGATGATCGAGAAAGGCTCAAGAGGTTCAGAAACCCCATTGTAACCATGGAAGCTCGACACCAACAGGTCTGTGTTTGTTCTGACAAATTGGCGCAGAAGTATACCAAATATTCAGGGAAATTTCTTACATTTCCTCACATCTGCCTAAAACTAGAATGTATTTTAATATGCTTTTGTTTGATAGAGATCCATTGTATATAAACACAGACTACAATCACATTAAGATTATAGGAAGGACAATAACTAGAGCAGAGGTTGTCAACAGGAGGTCTGCGACCCCTAGGGGGTCCATGGAGGTACTGCATGGGGGTCGCAAAAGTTTTAGACTTTTTTTTCTTATATTCCCACCTGCAATTTTTCCAATAACTGAAATATGTTTAAATATGCATTAACATGAATTCCACACACTGTACTAACAGATTAAATGGAGGCAGAAGATGTCTTTTTATCATCAATGCACACATTCAGCGACACACAGGAGCTCTTTCAAGCTGGGCACCGTTTCATTCACAACACCTGTCCCATCAACCATGAATCAGAATCAGAAATACTTTAATAATCCCAGGGAGAAATTACTTTTGTTACATTACTCCATCTGTAATAGAGTGATTATAGGACCAGATTGATATAATACAATTTCATACAATATATGTAATTAGGGGGGCCCCGCTCCATCTTGCCATCAGTTTGGGGGTCCTTGACCTGGAAAACGTTGAAGACCCCTGAACTAGAGCATTGTTTACCATCCTTGTTTGAGTTGTGTACCCCTTTTGGTATTTTGTCTTACCATGAGAACCCCCTTCAGTCAAAAGTATTGATGATTGTCCAAAAGTAGAATGTACAATAACTTATTATAAAACAAAAATTATTTTTATTAAATCTTTTAACCTGAGCGTTTAATTCTTATGCACTTTATTCTTTCGATCTCAACTAAAAAAAACAACAACTTAAGTATTTTTCCTGGAAGTTAGTAAGGTATTGAAATAAATAGAAAATAAAATCCTATTTTAAACCTGTATTTGTAAAACTGGAGCTCCTCTCTATATCCAGTCTGTTCTTCTGCTTGGTTTAGATGTGAGTCAAAGCTGAAGGTGAACTCAAACATATAAGAAAAAATTACTTTGTTTTATAAAAGCTTGTTTAATTATTCAATTGGGTCGTCACATAGCCATGTTTTATTTTACAACCTAAGAAATAAAATATTTTCATGTACCCCTCGCAATGCACGTGCGGACCTCTAGGGGTACACTTAACCGCGGTTAGTAATCACTGAACAAGACGATCAACCAAGAGGCTCATAAGGAAGAGATCCCAAGGTCTAAGATCCCCAGCTCTTGGATTACCCGAAGAATAAAAAAATAAATAAATAAAGTAGAAGATTTTTAATTTAAAAAAATTAACAAGAAAGATATTGTTGAAGAAAATTCAAAAGGAGTCCCATTTGCAGTTTGACATGCAGAATTACAGTGGACATGTGGAGGGAGGAACTATGGTCAGATGAGATGATTCTTAAAATTTTTGAAATAAAGACAAAACGGTGGACAATGGACCCAAATCAGCTGAGCCCAAACCTTTTGCATCAAGGGCCAAAATTTACCAATTAAAAGTACTAGGTGACAACAGTTATTTTTTTTATTTTCATAATGACAACAAAATAATCCAATCTTGTTGAGCATGAGATCTTTTTCTTGAAATAATTAGCACAAAATGTATCAGTAGATCTGTGCTGCTAGAGAGATACTTTAACAGACTTCCAAATGTAATTGAAGTGTAAACTTATGCATACAATTGAGTCATGTTTTCTTAAACTAATGCTACCCTTTATAAACTTTTATCTTCTAAAAATGTGGAATAGCTTTTATCATTTTCATCCCTCCTCAGAAACCAACTGCTTTGTGTTGGTATGTTACTTAAAATTTCATTAAAATCACCCCAATGTTTCTCCCCGTAAAATAAGTTGTGAAAAGGCTCAAGGGGTGTGAATACTTCTGCAAGGCACTGTAGGTTCAGTTCCTCCTGCTTTGAGTTGGATGCTTCTGCTGGTTACTGCTCAAGGTACGAGAGAACAGGGAACGTCGGGAGGCGGAGAAGCAGAGGAAACAGATGGAGAAGGAGGAGCAGCGCGATGCCAGGAAGGAGGCAAACAGGAGGGAGAAAGAGGAGGAGATGAGGAGGAAGCAACAGGAACATAGAGAAGAGGAAATGGTGCAGCAGGAGATGATTCGACTGAGAAAATTGATGGAGGAAAAGAAGAGCCAGGAGCATTTTGCTCGACTAAGGTATGTCTCTTCCTGATTGGGTATTTTGCTGTGGGATCTGACCCTATCTATATCATTGAACCAGGTAGTCGTATTTGAATTAAGAATATGACATATGTGCTTAAAATACCCGATGTTGCCAAAAGTTTAAGCTTATCTGCCTTGGTTCATTCTCTGCAGCTATAACAGCTTCAACTATTCTAGGAAGGCTGTTCACATGTTTAAGAATATCTTTATGGGAATTTTTGACTGATCTCCAACAAGCATATTTCTGAGGTCATACACTGATGTTGGACAAGAAGGCCTCGTTTTCCGTCTCCGCTTTAGTTTGCCTAAAATGTGTTCTACCAGGTTAAGGTAAGAACATTGTGCAGTACAGTCAAGCTCATCCACACCAAACTTTCTCGTCCACATCTTGCTGGACCTTGCTTTGTGCACCCGTGAGGGGAAGGATCTACCTTCAAAGTGTTTGGAGCATGGGACTCTCTAAAATCTTGGTATGCTGAAGCATTCAGGGTTTATTTCTTTGAAGTTAAGGTGCTAAAAAAAGCTATCAGAACAGCTGATTTATTTAGATGGTTGAGCAAATACTCTTACCAATATGGCGTAGATCTAAGTGTATTTGTTGCCATACAGTGGTACTAAGGCATTATGTGTCTTAAAACATGCAGGAAGCTGCGTTAAATTAATCCTGGTCTCACGCTCTGAAGCTCTTCTTTGATTTGAAGACGGGGAAACAAATCCATGTCCAAAATAAAATGTCCTTTAAATTAAAAGAAACATATTTAATTGGTTTCTAGAGAAAAGGAGAAAAAGGTACAAAGAGCATGCAGAAGCGTCGAGTCAACCCCAACTCTTCCCTCAAAGCAGCAGCTGCAGAACTGCAATCAACTACAGCGAGAGCAGAGGATTCAAACGAGAATAGACATGATCAATCTCAAGGTTGGTGCCTGTTCTGTGCATTATATGAGTTCTCTGACAAGTCTGGGAATCTTGTTTCAACCACAAATATTTATTTCGATTGTGCATGTTAGTTTCTACACAGGCATCTGTCCGGATGGTACTCTTTGGTGTTAAAGCGGCGCTTACATATAGGTAAAGCAGAGGCCCTTTGTGATTGGAGGAGGCAGCTGAAAGCATGGCAGGCATGGCGAGCTGTGGTGTGGGCGGAGCGTAATCAGCGAGAGGCGGCAAGAACCGAGGAGCAACTACGAACAGAGAAAAGGCAAGCTGTTCTTATACCAAGGTCAAAGGTCCCCCATTTGTTTTTGACACACAAAACATTATACAGGGTCTTGTCAATATATTCATGAATCAGTTTTTTCCATGTGTGTAGTTTGATTTTATTTGAAGCATCCAAACACACGGTTAATTATTGCCATAGAAATGTTACTTTCTGAATGTGCTTCTGTGGCACAGTGGTTAGTGCACACAACCCATGTACGGAGGCCTTAGTGCTTGACGTGGTCGACCCTGGTTTGAATCTAGCCTGTGGTCCTTTGCCGCATGTCTCTCCCCATCTCTTGTACCCCACTTCCTGTCAACCTACTGTTAAAAAAACGAGCCACTAGTGCCGTTAAAAAAAAAACTCAAAAAAAAAACCATTACTTTCAATATTTTGAGAAAAAAACTTTTACCTGTAAATATTACAACAATTTTGCATGCATATAAACTCAGCTCCCCTTGTTGTTATGATGCTCCTAAAGCAAAGAGCATCATTAAGATTGAGGAACACAGTAGTTGCTTCAGGGATCAAGCTCTGAAAAAGTTGATCAGTTGTAAAATTTTAAATATGATTTCAGGAAATCGTTTACAATTTTAAAGTGTTACATTTTGTATGGTGATATAAATTATGTACCTTATCGTTTTTTGCCAAATATGTGAAGCTAAAAAGCTAGCAGCAATGCAAACCATGAATAAAAAATATATTTTTACTAAGCTGCTTTACAAACTTAAATCCCAGAACCTTCTCTTTTTTTCCCTCTTTGAAAGGGAAAAAAATCTGTGCTTTTCAAGAAAATACATCTTTTGATTCTGAGAGAGATGTTAGTTGATCTGTAGTGCCTGCAGGAGTCCTACTAATTTGGAAACTTGATTAAATGAGGTTGTGTAAAATAACCACTTTAAATTTTTAATAACAAGTTAATGTGATAATTTCTAGTTGCACAGCAGTAACGTTTCCTGATTGCAAATACAGCATTGAAAGTTGGTCATTCATGCTGCTGTATTAAACTTTTTTAAAAAACGAGCCACTAGTGCCGTTAAAAAAAAACTCAAAAAAAAAGAAACGTTACTTTCAATATTTTTACTACTTTTACCTGTAAATATTACAAAAATTTTGCATGCATATAAACTCAGCTCCCCTTTATTGTGATGCTCCTAAAGCAAAGAGCATCATTAAGATCGAGGAACACAGTAGTTGCTTCAGGGATCAAGCTCTGAAAAAGTTGATCAGATTCACATAAAGCTGTTTAGTTTGTCCAAAAAACGCTGTGGGGTATGTTGTATAATTATAGCTGAAGAATTATCAGAATTTAAGTGTTTTTATATCAGTTGATATATAGAAACATTTGGAAAAAAAGGCTGAATTTAAATTCTAACACTAATTTAACTTTAAAAAGAGATCAGCACCACCACGAACATTGCTTAGCTTGGCCATGAGCGGTTATGCGACTAAGTCCTTCCTTCTGCTTACATCTCAGAATGCCATGCAGTTCTGGATTTGAGCTCAGTTAAGTTATGCAACATACAACATATTAATCAGCATTTAGTGCTATAAATTTTTTTTTTTTTATTGGCCAACCGTAGCTGTGGGGAAAATGGATTTAAAACCTTTTAGAAGCTGTGAAAATCTTTAGATATAAGGCAGGGGTTAATTTTCATCAGGGCAACAACTCAAAACATAGAGCCAGAGCTAAAATTAAATGCTTCAGATTATGTATTTATTAGCAATAGGCCAGTCAAAGCCAATTGAGATTCTGTGGCAGGATCTGGGAAACTAGATGATCTCCATGCAGTCAAAGCTATGCTGCAGTAAACATTTAGAAAGCTAACAAAAAACAAACCCAAAGGATCCGTGTCTGAATTGGCAGCCAAAGAGGGTTAAAAAAAACATTGACTCAGAGGCTCTGGTTTCCAAAGAATGCCAAACCTTTTTAGGTTTAATTCATAAAGATTTAGAAAAGTGTTCATCATTTAACATCCCTGCACTCTTTACACTGCTGTGTGGAAGGGTGGCTTAATGGGTGGCGAGCAGGGTGTTTGTATCCTTTAGGGCAAGCTTGGAGTGTTATTCTGGGTTTCTGAGTAAGACCTTTAACCCCAGATTGCTCACCATGTACCACTGCTGACTAAGGGATATATTAAAAACAGGGAACAAACTTCCTCCATGAAGGACTATAAAGGGATCCTTCCTTTCCTTTTTTCTTTCTTTACTCTGTGTTGCCTGTGTATTGGGTTGCCTCCGGCACTGCCTGCTTCCCAATCCTCTCTGCTACGGGCCCTCACGTTCCCCCTGCAGGTGGTGAGCCTACTGGAGGATAGCTTTGCGTCGCTCCTTCAGGCTGAGCCCAGCCAGGTATCGCAAGGAAGAACACGACCACCAGGTGTTCGCCGCTAATCCTCAACCCCGAAACGTTTTCAAACCTTGGAAAAAAAGTCCAGTGGACTGTTTTTTAAACTTTTTCAGAGTGACTATGACCTGGATGACTGAGAATCTTCACCAGCATGGTGCCCCTTTTCTTTTTTTTACTTAATGGGGCTTTTGAACTGCTCTTTGCTGACCCGTCACCCAGAGCCTGTTCGCCTTGGGAGACACAACCTCAGCTGGAAAAAGGTATCTTATCCCCTTCAGGTTGGGGGTGAGTTCCTGCCTTAAATAGAGGAGCTCTAGTATCTTGGGGTCTTGTGTTAAGTAAGGATAGAATGGAGTAGGAGATTGAGTGACGGCTCAGTGGGGCTGCTGTTATAATGGAGATGCTGGAGGGACTATGTTTCTCGGCTGGCCTGGGAGAGTCTCGGGCATCACCCAGCTGAGCTGGAGGAGTCTGGTGAGAGGGAAGTCTGGGAGTCTCTGAGCTGAGACTGCTGCCCTTGGACCCGGTCCTGAATGAAGTGGAAGATTACAAGTTTGAGTCAAGTACTCAGTGTTTCTCCTGGACAAAAGATTCCATCCATCATGGTTTGATACTGTATGACTGCTTGAAGTAAAAGAGATTTCTGTCTTATGGGCAAATCTCCACGGCATTTCAGACAAAACCAGCTGGCTGTGGAAAGCGACCGAAGACGTTTGCTGCGGCGATTTTTGAACGAGTGGCAGCTCTGGTGTCGGACAGAGAAATCCCACCGAGAACTACTGGCCCAGCAGCAGGAGACCAAAGCTAAGATGGCTGCCTTGATCAACGCTGCCTCTACAGGAAAACTCACGGTCATAGCAGCACCTGCTGATTCGGCAGTAAGTCTCCAACAGGAGCTCAGGAGCAAAGAATATACAGGAGCCAAGGTGAGAAATGCAACAGTTGCTACAGGAACAAAAACAGCACATTTTGACCCAATAATATCATTTTTTTTAGTGACTCTAGTACTATGAGCATGACTTAAACATAATTGGATTTTGCTGTTACTCTTGCACTTTTTCCTTCCACTCAACTTTCTTTCGATAAGCCTTGTAATAGAATCCTTCAGCAGGGATCCATTATGGCTTACTTTCCTGTAACTGTCTCCTAGACATCTTTCATCACAGCAATCTGCATCATATTTCAATGAGCTAATAAAAAAATGTCTCAACTTGGGCTTTTTCACCCTACATCACAGCCACATTCGCTTTGCATTCATAACAGGTTTCAGTTCACTTTTGTTCTTCCTATTTACTCTAATCACGCTGTTTGCATTGCTAAACACATCCTTAGCTCCCGAAAGCACCTATTCATAGGGATAAAATGACAATGTATTGACAAATATTCGCTCCTGTCGAGTCATTCATGTTCGTTGTCGATTAACTTTATGGAGATTTTTTTTTTTTAAGCACCAGTGTTGGAGAAGTTTTAGTGGATGCATGTTTTTTTTGTTTTTTTCTCCATGTCTGCAATATTTTCTGTTGAAGGATCCATGTGAAGCAGAGAATGAAGTCCTCAATGCCTCCAAAGGACATCAGGATAAAACCTCTGTGGCTGAGGTGGGCCGGCCTCTTCAACCGTGGCAAGTGACCCGGCGCCATACAGCACCCACCGCTGCACAGCTACACACTGCCCGGGGAAGAACCAGAGAAAATAGGGTTCTTGGCTCAGAATGCAGGTCCGAAAGCAGAAAGGCTGTCCAGCAGCAGATCATCGCACAACAGAGGAAGCTCCTGAAAGAGCAGCAGGAGCAAATCGCCCAGCTGAAGGAAAAGCAGAGCATAATGGGGTTGGAGTTGGATATGGAGAAAGCTGCACAGCTTACCCAGCTTAAAGCTGTGCGAGAAGAGAAGAGCTGCAGCTTTGGCCCTGGGGGGCAGAGGTTGGCTCACTTAACATCATTAAAAATTTAGGCAACCTGAGATCCTCTTCAAAGCAACACTGCTAGAGGGATTTCTGCTGACTCACAGCCACTTCCTCCTAAAACGTTTAGAATTTAATACTAAAGTATCCCATGTTCAGGATATTAAGACTCATTATTATCACCCGATTTATTGTATTAAAATTTTACCAAAATGCTTTTTAAACCATATATATGCAGGATTTGTCTTTTTGGTTTATAATGTTTGATTTTTCCCCTAGAAATATGTTTTCATTGCTTCCAGTTGTTAAATTTAAACCTGTTTAAAGACCAGAAGCATTGGCTCTCAAAGTCAGGGTAGGGCCCCTTTTGGGGTCATAGATCTGTGGGCATGGGCTCCTGAGATCCTCTACACTGATTAAACAAAAACTTATAATAATTATGATTTATATTTATGTGATAGTTTTTAAAGAGAGGAAAACATCCCTTAAAAATAGACAATTGAAGATGCATTAGTTGTTTGTTTACATTAGTGTTATCCTATTTTTAATTGATTTTCTAGAAATGTGTGAATATTCAACCCAAATCTGAGTCGTGACTCCATCCTGGTAATATTTGATGGGTCAGAAGCTGAAACGATCTCTGCACTAGAATAGAAAAAACTTTGAACAGAAGTAATGGTCAATCTGATGGAAAAGGATTTAGCTGAAGTGGGAAAATATTCATCATAGCCAGATGTCTTATTCATTTAGGCTTTTTATTATTTCCGTGACAATGTGATTATATTACAGTGAAAGCAAGAGTCGACCCAAAAGTTTTATTTTACTGTTGATTTTCTCTAATGGAAATTATTCCCAGAGGCTTAGATGTGTTAAAAAACTTCCTTGGTATGTTGCTCCCATTTGTGTTTTGAAGCCACCTATCAGCTTCATTGTGGCGGCAAATTTGACCACACCTGCTGATGGAGTTGATAAAGATTGGAAGATTATCTGATATTAGGCTGTGTTTTTAAATCAGAGTTGGTTAGATGTTGGTGACATTCCTGAAGCTTAAATTGCGCCAAACTGCGCATGCTTGTTTCAGCTCAGTCAACCCTATGGAAAACCATCACCAAAAAATCAGAACTTAGATGACTGAGAAGGCTCTGATCCAGAACGACTTTCCTCCAAAATAATGCAGTTTGTCCTCCGGATGAAAAGGCCCAGAGGATGCAACGGCTCTGCTACTTGGCTGCAAATGAAAGTACATAGAATAGAACATATGTAGAATAAAGAGTAATATTTAATGCATTAACTTCACTTCAAATTAATAACTAGATGGTTGAAACTCAATTGGGTTTTCCAACAGGACATTGACCCTTTCAATCCTTTAACTAACCATTTTAAAAGTTTGTCGGCCGTGTTTAAAAGCTGGGATCTATGGCAGGAAACCAACTCTGACAAGACGAGGGGAGAAAATCTGGTCATAAATATGAAATAAACATGCAGATGACTCTAAAAACTGGTGCTTTCTATTCAGCTTGAGAAACAAAATAGTAATAGAGGGTATGTATGTATTTGAGCTTTTACATATAATTTTGATTGTCTTAAAATGTGAGAATACTACCTCTCCTTAAAACATTCATATTGGTGTTAGTTTAAAACATTAGTTTAAAAATTTTAATACTTGTTGTCTGAGAAAAACTTTTTGCAGTTTCATGGCCAGTCTTCTGTTATTTCTTGCCGCTAGTCATTCCTTTTGCAGAATGAAATTTATCAGATGATGTAAGCATGCAAACAAAAGTTCTGACAGTTTTTCTTTCTTCTGGCTGTTTTGATCCCGACTGCAGAGCTCCCGGGGCTAAAGGGGAACCACGCAGTCAGAGTGCACCTCCCAGGAAAGCTGTCATGATGCAGACATGCCCCCATCCGATTGTCACAGGTCAGATTGTAATCTAAACAGCAGAAAATATTCACAGACTCATACGGCCTAGGAGACACAGACAAGATCTTTATCCAAACGTTCTATGCTTTACTTTTCTTAATTAGTTGCAAAATTTTAAATATGATTTCAGGAAATCTTTTACAATTTAAAAGTGTTACATTTTATGTATTTTATGTATGTTTTATGGTGGTATAAATGATGTATCTTATCGTTTTTGGCAAATATGTGAAGCTGAAAAGCTAGCAGCAATGAAAACCATGAAGAAAAAATTTATTTTGACTAAGCTGCTTTACAAACTTAAATCCCAGAACCTTCTCTTTTTTTCCCTCTTGTGTGCTTTTTAAAAGGGAAGAAAAATCTGTGCTTTCATGAAAATGCATGTTTTGAGGGAGATGTTAGTTGATCTGTAGTGCCTGCAGGAGTCCTACTAATTTGGAAACTTGATTAAATGAGGTTGTGTAAAACAACCACTTTGAATTTTTAATAACCAGTTAATGTGATAACTTCTAGTCGCACAGCAGGAACGTTTGCTGATTGCAAATACAGCATTGAAAGTTGGTTATTCATGCGGCTCTATTAAACTTAACAGATGGAATTAAAGAACAATAATCCCAGATTGGGGTCTAGTAAAATCAGACCCAAATTTTCAAAATGAATTTTATAGCTTCCACTGTGGAAAAACAAAAAGCACATTTTTCCAGTAAGAGTTTTTCCTACGAGTTTTTACTCTCCGATTCCATTTTTTTCCATTTCACACTGACTGCATATAGGAAGTTTATTAGGGCATTGCACTTGCAATCCAAAAAAGGAATAAAGAATGGAGAGGCTCTGACTAGGAAGGGCGGGCAGATTTTTGTTCACTTCTGTCTCTGTGCTATACACAGATTAAAACAATTTCCCACATTTGACTTATTCACATTATGAAAAATTATAAAAATATATAAATAAAAAACCACAACCTCGTCGTCGGATCGGGACGCAAAATCTGATTCCTTATGTTCTGCCCTTTACAGCCATAATCTGTCATTATTTCAAACAAATAAAAATAACTATTCAAATAAGTCAGAGAGATGTTGTAACATTCAGATTTTTATTTATTAAAAGTCTGCATCCTAGGGCTGTATAACAAGCATGCAGAAGCAGTTTGGCTGATTTATTATCCGAATTAGTTAATAGTAATAAATCCTGGAAAAATAGGATTCTTTTAATCCGTGTTTCATGTCATTGTGTTTTCTTTCTCTACACAGGGCTGTAATAATTTAACCAATATTTTCACCAAGGTTAGCTATTTTTTATATTCAGCCAATCAGAAACAGTAAACCATCCAAAGCTCTAACCTGAAGGTTCAGGGTAGTTTTAAAATGTTCAGCCTTCCTACCAAGATCCTCTCCTTTTATTATTTTCTATCCCTCAGTAATCCGTGTCAGCCTTTCTTCCTCCAGTCAACTCAATCAAGGCGAAGAAAGGCAGTTCTGTTTCCGAGGATTGATGCTCATCTAGATCAGAATTATCTTTCCAATCTGGATCACATTAGGTGCGTCTTAATGATGGCCAAATTTTAATAAGTATTCCTACAGGATTTTTCCACTCTGTATTACCTAATCTTAAATCCAGTATCACTCAGCTAATAGGTAATGTACATAAAAAATCATGGATAGATAAAACAAAATCACTCACTCTCTTTTAATGGCTTTATTTTTAATGTGATTCTGTTGGAACCATTCTCATTTCTACATTTAACAGACTACATATTTGATGTGTTTAAAGAATATGGGTCAAAATATCTAAACACATCAAATGCAGGTCCAACGTTAACTTTTTGCAGCAGTCTGTTACCACAACCTCGGTTTCTTCAGCACACCTGACAACAAACAAGACCAATTTAGTTTCGTTTAATAGGCCAAGGTCAGGCCAGATCCAGGAGATTGCTTTTATAGATTGACCATTCACACCCTGGTGGGAAATAAATGACCTCCTTCATCTCAAACGGCCTCAGTCTTCTCTGGCAACCAACCGTCTAACATCCCTACATAGCAATCATCCATATCATTTAGCACAGTGGCAGAAATAACAGCTTTGTTGCCTGTTGATATAATATGTTTTCCTGCTAACAAAGAAATCTACTTTTTTATGATGGTTTGATTTTAAAAAGACGATAAACCAAACATCTCTCAAACACAAACAATATTATTAAACCATTGAACTGATTTACATAACAATAATAATACATATATTCTCAGCCACAATGATTAAAACTGAATTGACTCTAATAGACACTAAAACCATCCAGTCAGTCAGAGATACTCCAGATCTTGGTTCTGTGTAAAAAGCATGCTGTCCTTTTTACCAACATGGCTGGATGGAACTACAAGAGTAGCTTGGTTAGAATATCAGGACTGTTAGTATAAATACTTAGATATGCAGTAAATGACCAGCAGGCGCCCCTGATTTGGAGCAATGCAACATCTTCCCTCCTCAGGTGAAGATAGTCTGAGAAAAAACGAGGAATCAAACCATAACTTAACTGAAGGATCTAAATACAGGTGCTGGTCATAAAATTAGAATATCATGAAAAAGTAGATTGATTTCAGTAATTCCATTTAAAAAGTGAAACTTGTATATTATATTCATACATTACATACAAACTCATATATTTCAGATGTTTATTTTGTTTAATTTTGATGATTACAAATGACAACAAATGAAAATCTCAAATTCATCATATCAGAAAATTAGAATATTGTGAAAAGGTTCAAAATTGATGGCCCCTGGTGCCACACTCTAATCAGCTAATTAACTCAAACCACCTGCAAAAGCCTTTAAATGGTCTTTCAGTCTAGTTCTATAGGCTACACAATCATGGGGAAGACTGCTGACTTGACAGTTGTCCAAAAGACGACCATCGACACCTTGCACAAGGAGGGCAAGACACAAAAGGTCATCGCTAAAGAGGCTGGCTGTTCACAGAGCTCAGTGTCCAAGCACATTAATAGAGAGGCGAAGGGAAGGAAAAGATGTGGTCGAAAAAAGTGTACAAGCAAGAGAGATAACCGCACCCTGGAGAGGATTGTGAAACAAAACCCATTCAAAAATGTGGGGGAGATTCACAAAGAGTGGACTGCAGCTGGAGTGAGTGCTTCAAGAACCACCACACACAGACGTATGAAAGACATGGGTTTCTGCTGTCGCATTCCTTGTGTCAAGCCACTCTTGAACCACAGACAGCGTCAGAAGCGTCTTGCCTGGGCTAAAGAGAAACAGGACTGGACTGCTGGTGAGTGGTCCAAAGTCATGTTCTCTGATGAAAGTAAATTTTGCATTTCCTTTGGAAATCAAGGTCCCAGAGTCTGGAGGAAAAGAAGAGAGGCACTTCATCCACGTTGCTTGAAGTCCAGTGTAAAGTTTCCACAGTCAGTGATGGTTTGGGGTGCCATGTCATCTGCTGGTGTTGGTCCATTGTGTTTTCTGAGGTCCAGGGTCAACGCAGCCACATACCAGGAAGTTTTAGAGCACTTCATGCTTCCTGCAGCTGACCAACTTTTTGGAGATGCAGATTTCATTTTCCAACAGGACTTGGCACCTGCACACAGTGCCAAAGCTACCAGTACCTGGTTGAAGGACCATGGTATCCCTGTTCTTAATTGTCCAGCAAACTCTCCTGACCTTAACCCCATAGAAAATCTATGGGGTATTGTGAAGAAGAAGATGCAATACACCAGACCCAACAATTCAGAAGAGCTAAAAGCCACTATTAGAGCAACCTGGGCTATCATAACACCTGAGCAGTGCCACAGACTGATCGACTCCATGCCACGCCGCATTGCTGCAGTAATACAGGCCAAAGGAGGCCCAACTAAATACTGAGTGCTGTACATGCTCATACTTTTCATGTTCATACTTTTCAGTTGGCCAACATTTCTATAAATCCTTTGTTTTTATTGGTCTTCAGTAATATTCTAATTTTCTGATATGATGAATTTGCGATTTTCATTTGTTGTCATTTGTAATCATCAAAATTAAACAAAATAAACATCTGAAATATATGAGTTTGTATGTAATGTATGAATATAATATACAAGTTTCACTTTTTAAATGGAATTACTGAAATCAATCTACTTTTTCATGATATTCTAATTTTATGACCAGCACCTGTATGAAACCATAGCTATACAGCACTGGCAACATGCTATCCCATAATGCTTCAGATAAAACCTGGAAGAAAGCGCTGTGATCAGATGAGACCCGGATGAAACCCTCTCCCATCCCCACTTTCAAGCAGGGTGGTGGAAGGATTATGCTCTAATGCTTTTCTGTAAACTGTCCAAGAAAACTTCACAGCATGGAAGAAAAAAACTGAGGTTGCAGGAAACCTTTTCTACTTCATACTGAAGTCTAAAGCAAGATTGTAATCGCCATGATGTCAGAAGGAGGGCTGAAGACGAAGCACGATACTTTCAAAGAGCAACCAAGAGCAGCTCGAGACCTAGAAAATCTAAACAGAGAATCAAGAGCTTCTGTTTGCTTAGCTGCAGCAGATAAATGTAAGGAACTCTGAGTCTTCCTGTAAATCCTCCCAAGATCAGTAAAAACCCTGGGGATCATCTCATCTACCCCATTTTGCAGGATTCCTCTGCAGTCACCTAAAAAAAAAAAAAAAAAAAAAAAATCTAACTTCAGGCCAGTTGAAAGATCCACACAAAGTAATCATCATCAGTTTAATTTATTTATTTTGGGATATTATTAGACTAGTTCTGGTTTAGTGGTCACTATGTTACTTTCCTTCTACTCTACTGCGTCAAGTTTTATATGTCTGAACATAAAGGTTGGAAGACAAATATGTCGAAGACAAAAAAATAATCTGCATCCTAAAGGATGAAAAAGATCTTCTCTGTTTCATCATTTTACTCGCTACCCCCAAACAATGGTATGCAAATTACATCATGCCTGGTTTTCTGACCTTCACACAAATCCTCATAAAAGCTACTTTTATATATTTCCTTTATAATGGAGTGCCCTTGAAAAAATATATCCGCCATTGTCTTCATTTCATTGCATAAAGTGATGCAATGCATTCATTCATAAAAAAACTTCTAGTTTCAAGGTCTTTAGTGGACTACAGTTATGTGGTTTTTTTAAACAAAACTTTTCTGCCTCTCTGAAGCCATGGAAACCCGAGCAAGACAGCGTGCCGAGCGCAGGCAGGAGATCGAGGAAATCAAGAGGAGGAAAGAAGAGGCAAAGCTGGTGAGGCCGGCAACTCCTTCAAGAGTTAGAGTATGTTTCATGCATTAACAGTTTAGCTCATGAGTTCAATGATTTGACTTTTAAGGCAGAGTTGAAAGCTGCAGAGGAACAGAGGCAGAGGGAGGAAGAGGAGGAGAGGCGCAAGGCAGCAGAGAAGAGGAGGGAGGAGAAGAAGCTGGAACGAGAGGTGAGGAGTATTTCATGTTTTATAGTTGGCTACAAGTCCCAGAGGGTTGAAGCAATGTCCGTCTGTGTCCGTCCAGAGGGAAGCAGAAAGACAGAGGCTCCTAAAACGGCATCAGGACCTCATGAGAGTGGCGTGTCAACACCGAAACAGGACCTTACTGTCACATCGAGGCCTGGCACCATGGAAACGCCTCATTCAATTAAAACATGCCAACATGGAGGTAAGCATCCCATCTCGTCTTATGCAGCAGTGTTTCCTTTTACTCTTTTTAACTGTGGTCACAGCAGAACATTTAATGGGGCTCCGAGCTTAAAGCATGTTTAAATATTAAGAGGTCTACCTTATTATAGACATTTGTTAAAATACATTCTATTCTACCACTCATGTTTGTGTGTTTAAGGCTGATCTTTCAGAATTATCCCATCTCAGAAAACCCATTTTTCATGTTTCAATCACAAACTCTAGGGCATCTGAATTTTCACCAAGTAAAAAAAATATCATCACTAGGAAGAAAAACATGTTTAGTTAGTTTTCTGTTTTTAATAATCTACTATTTGAAACTGCTAAATGTGGTAGAAACTGTAATCACAGTAAAATGGATTACTAAACAGCATGGATTTAAGAGGCTTAATAAAAAGTACAGCATGATCTTTTTAGATCTTTATTTGAGAAAAGAAATGTACAAAACAAAACCACCAACACTTTATATGATTTAAAATCTCAATAAAAACACAGGTGGACAAAATGTGACTGATTTGCAGGGTTTTGGAAACTTAATTGGATGCACTGTCAATCGTATTGTGTTTTTTAGGTCTTAAGCTCTCCTTCAGTGCTTCTAAATGACTTGCAATGTGACCGTGAACACATTTAGTCAGCAGATCTTTCAATGTTTTTCTTTGTTTTGATGAAACAGATTATAAAATATCACAGAATTGACTGTAATCAATGATTGCAGCAAACCAATTTTAACAATTAAATATAACAGATGCTAACTCTACAGAAACGTCTGCAGTTGATTGGATAAAGGTAGCAGTAATCTCCCTGGTTGAAATGTCTCTAAGGATGCTTTGTTCATGTTTTAAACAGAGTAAGGACAAGTATGATTTTTATTAAGAAGTTAATTCTGTTGTATCTTCACCGGCTTCTCTCCAGATGGCTGAGACTCATCACAATTTGCTCCTCCTGAGGCGATGCACCCTGGGATGGCTGCAGTTTGCAAGAGAGTCCCTGTGTGAGAAAGAGGCCTCTGCAGAGCGACTACATCAGCATTTTTTGCTTCGTCGGAGCTTAAACGGCTGGAAGAGAGTGGGTATACACATATATACAGGAACCTGCACACATATATACTAAACTTTCAGCGTGAAGGCTTAGTGGATTTTATTTGACAAAATAGACATTTTCAAAAGGTTAATCAGCTTTAATGCAACCGCTCTGTCGGTGCCACAGGGGAGAACATAAATGAACAAACCTCATCAAGGAGGCCAAGGAACAGAGCGGAAATAAAAAAGAATGGTAGAAGAAATTCTGTTTGAATTGTAGGGGCCATGTAGGGGACACAGCTAACATGGAGAAGGTGCTCCGGTCAGGGGAGACCAATTCAGAACTCTATGTGCAACATTAAAAAACCCCACAATAAACCACGGTGGGGGAGGCATAATGCTGAGGGGGCTTTTCTCTGGAACTATAATCCTGAAGGGAACCCTGTTACAGACACCCAGATATAATATAGTAGTTTTTATCAAAGCATGTGTGCGTCATGGTGGCCTAGTCAAAGTTCACAAAGTCCATGGGAGAAATTGATGCATTGTAGCTATAAAAGAAATCTAATTATTGCAAATTTTATCCTTCATCCCACTTAAAGACCATTTGAGGCAGCTACTAGCCCTCACATCTTTTTAGTAGATAAATATTAACTGTTTTCAATCTTCTTCACATAGACATAAAAGCCCAGTGAGATACATCAAAGTTTGTGGTTACAGCAAAACAAATCCCTGAAAAATTTCCAGACACTTTTTTCTGGATATTTTAATCTATTTTGATTTATTTAGATAAAACTTTTTGTGTCCCGATTAAACAAGACAACGTCTCACAGCAGAGAGCACCCACCACCCTCCGACATTCTCAACCCTACAACATTGTCTCTACTTTTTATAAACCTTTGTTGCAACACTTGTCCTTGTTTTAGCTGGGGGAGCTGCGGATAATTCAGGAAGAGCGAGCCGAGCGTTTTTATCGGATACGCACTTTGAGGAGGTTCCTGCTGGCTCTGCTGCAGCATGTGAGCCAGGAGAGGCTGGTGAAGAGGGACCGACGAACGCTGGCTCAAGAACATCACGACAGGTCTGCTCCTCATGGCTGCGCCATTCTGTTCCCATAGAGCCTTCATTAAGCTAACTCAGCTACATTTCTATGGGGTAGGATAACTGTATCAGCATTATTGCAAAAAATACAATCAGTGTTAAAAATTGGATATACTCCATTTTTTAAGAAATACTTCCATTATATTTAAGTGATACTTTTAATGCTACAGCAGTTACAGCGAGATCAGATTTGCTTTGGGTTTTACTTTCTCTGTTCCGATTTTGTTTCAAACCTGCAAAACAGGGACAGCTGGTAAACAACCCAGGATGGAATATGTTTTCACAGGGAGAAACTCTAGATCTCTGAGGTGTATTGTGGGTTAAGCAGTAATTATTATAGAGGAGACAGGTTTTCCTGTAGAAATCCATGGTTTCCCTGGCAGAGTGCCAAGAGGAGTAAATGAGGCTCCATAAGGACAAGTTTTATTGATTGGTATAAGGATACGGAAGTGGAAAAATAAAACTTCCCAGCTTTAATTTAGTATGTTGACTCCCAGCTCTGAAAGCGGGAACAGCATCATATTTTACTGGTTTCCAATCAGTTGAATATTCAAATCATATCTCCAAATCTCAGATGCTTTCTTTGCTGCCCTGTTTAACTTTCTAGACTCAATAGCCTCCTTGAAAATACAAATGTTTTCACATTCTGTCTTATTATAAGCACCAACTTTAATGCATTTCATTAGGATTGTATTAATACACAAAATGGTGCATTTACCGGTATAAGAAATGTAGTTTAATGAATAGAGTCAATGTGTGGGTAAATTAATGTTGCCCACCGAGCAAAAGTTGGTTGAAGAGACATTGAAAAGACGACAGGATTTCAACCAAACGAGGTCTAAATTTGATTGAAAAGTGAATAGTTGAAAGACGTAATTTTCAGATTGTTGAAAACTGGGGTTTCAACGTCTTTTCAACGTCTATTATTGGAATAAAGTGGGACAAAATCCGACCAACCAAACACAGTCCAATTTTCAACATCCATTTCTGCACTAGATCGACCAGATTTAGCCTGATTTAGGGGGGGTCTTTATACAGCTGCTACATGAGAACCAGTCAGTTATAGTATGTTGGGGGTGCTGTCTTGCTGAGGTTGAACCAGTCCATTCTTTCTCTGACCATAGCACCTTATAGGGTTTAGGACTTTTAAACAGCTTGTGGCAAACAGGAGTCCCGCTGCAAATTCTCTCCCACCTGAGCTCCCGTCTGCAGCTCCCCCAGTTACCATTGGCTGCTTCTGATTAACCGTCTCCTGTCCTGTTCTCTAGGAAATATTTAAAGGTTCAAATGCTGATTCATAAACTTGTTTTTCCATATTTCATTGACTTCTAAAAGCAGCAAGTCTATTTATCTTATTAAAGGAGAATTCTGGTTTTTAACACTTTTAGCCCATTTTCTGTAGTGTCCAGGATGAAATCGAATGATCGACACCAAAATTTTGACAATTGGTCCCGTCTCTGCTTTTTGGCTCATGCAGAATCCCCCCCTGGCTGCTCCAGAATGGCTTCCATAGTGCATGTCCGATAATGTCCTTAAAACAACCTTAAACGTTCTTTTTTTAAAAATATGCTACTCACTGGGTCGTCAGCGCTGTTCAATGACGTTCCAAAAAAAGTTTCGTGAAGAAAAACCGTTCCTGTCTTGTTTTATTTAGCATTTTGTAAATCCCAGAACTATTTTTTCCGATACATCACAACCGCTTATAAACTTCCGCTTCCCGTTCGAATCTGAAGCGTTGCACACTCCAGACCACTAGTTGGCGACAATGTCTCTATATACTCCTCCTCAGTATATTCAGGTTCAAAACGGTATCCTCTACCATCAAACTCGAAGTCCAATATGTCCTCATCAAGAATCCACCTTTCGTATTCCATTTTCAGAGTTTTTTAAAGTGTTTAACAGAGACGTTAGCACCTCGACGTCGGAGTACACAGAGTGAAGCGAAAAGACTACAACTAAGTGTAGTCTTTTCCCCATTTCCGTTTCCGGTGGCGGAGGGATATTGACTATTCCAACAGAACTCAATGGGATTTACAAAATGCTAAATAAAACACTACAGGAACGTTTTTTCTTCACGAAACTTTTTTTGGAACGTCATTGAACAGCGCTGACTACCCGGTGAGTAGCATATTTTAAAAAAAGAACGTTTAAGGTTGTTTTAAGGACATTATCGGACATGCACTATGGAAGCCATTCTGGAGCAGCCAGGGGGGGATTCTGCATGAGCCAAAAAGCAGAGACAGGACCAATTGTCAAAATTTTGGTGTCGATCATTCGATTTCATCCTGGACACTACAGAAAATGGGCTAAAAGTGTTAAAAACCGGAATTCTCCTTTAAACCTTTTGACAGTAAAGGTGGCTAAATATAAATACATGCCACACTTTTCAGATTACTTTTGTGTTTCAGTTTATTCTTTTCTGTTCTTTTCACAATTATCCGCTAGTTGGCTTTGGTTCGCCCCAAAAAAAACCCCAAAACAGGCAGATTGAGGTTTGTCGGTGTAACGTTAGAAAATGTCAACAATTCTGTTTTATTTTAGATTATAGATACTGAAAGTTAAAGTTATAGTGGATGATGTTTTTTTCCAAGTGGATCATCTAAATATGAGGCATCCTCCTAATTGCAATCATTCTGGTGATATGTTTACGTAAGGCCGTCCTACGTGCTCGTCCCCATTTTCACTTACCGGCAGTGAGTCTGACATAGTGGAAAAATTGTAAATCTTCTTTTGGAAAGTTAGCTTGTATGAGGGATGCAAACAGCAACTTTTTAAACAGAGCGTGCACGAGGAGAAATGGGCTCATGCATGCTCTCTCTCGCATTTAATAGGCGTTCCCTTCTTGGAGTGGGTACAGGGTTGTGCATGTGCATTTTTTTTAAAGTGGAATTTCAAAAATTCACGAAAATCCTCCACTACACCTTTAATCATTAGTAAAAAAAAACATTTATTCTGATTAGATTTTAAATAGTTTGACACAGTAATATTTAGAAATTGTGAATAATTAAAAGGTTGCATACTTTTCCAGTATGTCTTAAAACTCTGACAGATAATGTATGTTTATATTTCTGCAACTTAAAAACCCGTTATTGTATGTTTTAAGCAATACTTTCATTGTCAATGTCAGTAAATATTTCTTAGCTGCAGCTGCCCAGTCCAGTTGGTCTAAATGACCACAGGCTACAGGTGAAGTCCCTCCAGCCACTCTGCTGCCAAACACCATGTGAAAACTAATTACATGCTGTCTAGCCAGAGGTCCCTCTGATCCACTTCGTTATTGCTCACTTGCTCCGTGTTCGTCTGTCCTTCCATCTGTTTGCTTTTAGACACGTCCTGCAGAGGTGTTTCCAGGCCTGGAGGCAGCTTCCTTGTGTGCTGAGGAAGGAGAGGGAGAGGGAAGTGCGTCGGGAGAAGCTGAGCAGAAAAGTGGCCGAGCTCCTGCCAGATTTCTGCCTCCATCCCCTTTGATGAACCTCCAAGAGAAACCGTCAAAAGGCGACAAGCTTTACACAAGTGGCAAAACATTACTTCAGTAATGGCAATGATAAAGAAAAGGCTTGTTCCATTGCTCGCATTTATTTAATAAAATAAATAAAATCCATTCGAAGTGCACTGATGTAAGACAGAGCAGTTATTGAAGTACAAAGAGTTGAACTATACAAACTAGTGTCCTAACAGTGAGCTTCAGCAGTCCTAGGCTGACACTTGGTCGTTTGATGATCAAATGTATTAGCTTGCTTTCAAGTGGAAGTGTGACAACCTATTACAAGTTTCATTATACAAATGCAATCAACCATTACCAGAATAAACCTTGTGCCGCATTTCATTCACCTGATATAAATACCCATAATGCAATTTGCAAGGCAAAGAGCCGACAATGAGGTACAGAAGTTAATTACATTTTTCATGTTTAAAAAAACGAAAACTTTATTGGATTGAGTCAGTAGAACTGGGAAAAAAAACAATGAATTTGTATTCAGCCCGACTCACTAAACAGTTTCTCTAAACAAGTTTTACTGCATTACCAGGTGCATGTCTGCAGGGGTACTCTGCAGACACACCAGTGGCTCTACCAGCAGTGAATATAAAGAGACTTATAGTCCTTTCTTCATGCATCTGGCTCAGTCAGACTGGATGGACAAAATTGGTAAACATTAATCTGCTAATTTTGCCACAGATTTCCAACTGGATGTAGTTCTGCACTTTAACCGGATCATCTTTAGCACCTCATGTTTTGATCTAAACAATTTAAGTGAGCCTCTGCCACAGTCTGTATTGTTTTCTCCTGAGAATTCAGGACACTGTTTTTACCACATGAGTTTTGGATGCAGACAAAAAAAAAGTTAAATTTTGGTATGATCAAAACAGTATATTCTTCTATATTAGGCTGTATTGCTTTGGTAGCAGACGGTGCACCTATGAGCTGCACCCTGGATCTCTGAAGCTCCTTCAGATTTACCAATTTTGTGGCTCTTTGCTGCTTCCCTAATATAAATTAAATACATGTAAAACTACAGTTTTCATCCACCTCGGGTGTGCATTTCTTTGTCCAGATCTATAACATAAAATCCCCAAATTCCAGAGGGAACTTCCTGTGTTTTTTGTTTGCCAGAAAATGTTCACATTGAGAGTTGAACTTCCTTTTGTGTGTCTGCTGAGGCACAGAGTTGTATGAGGGAAGACTTCATCAGTAATAGTTGTGTGTGACATTGATGTTGCTGGTGCATCCAGATGCATAGATAAGGTTCCAGTAGTGAGTCACTGTAACGGTGGTGAAAGCACAGTACTTAGGTGTAAAGTTAGTGTCTCTACACATCCAATGGAAAACTCCAGAGGTGCGGCTGGACCATATAGGAAGGCTGTCCACTGGAGAAAGCCTCTTTTAGATTATGTGGCAATGCTGCCATCTAGAGGATGGAAGCAGAGCTACTGCTTTTAATCTTATATTGTCCCTTTATACTAAATCTGTCAGAGACGGAGGCTTCAGCTTGTCCCCCATTGACATGAACTCCAACCAGTTGCTCCACAGACCCCTTGAGTAGACGCCAGTATCCACCACGATTCCCCAGCAGGCCCGGCGGGCTGTTTTCTCCCTCAGTGCAATGCGTGCCTCCCGCTCTGTCACATTGTAGCTGATGTTTATGATTTGCACTATGAGGAGGTGCAGGAGGCCGCCTGTCACAATGCTGCTGTACCAGGCACAGGTGAAGCAGAGAGCAGAGCTGGAGAAGATAGAAAGAAGAAGTTAGACATTTGAAAGCTAACCAACCAAGGTTTAAATAGTTTTATCGTTTTTCATATTAATTTCAGATTTTCTATTCTATTTTTTAATTTGGTTTTAGTATTTGTTAGCTAGTTCAGGTTTTTGAAAAACACTTAGTTTCATTTTAGTTTTCATAAGTCTCAGTTATAGATTTTGTCTTTTAATGTAATACAACTTAAATATTGGGGGAAATAAAAAGAAAAAATTGAAATAAAATCTCAGATAAGAACAGACCGCTGCAGCAACACAAATGACCTGACTGTCCCGCCCACCATTTTTTTAGGTAACACAGAACAGAAAAAATATAAAATAAAACAGCCACTGGAAACTAGAACACATATGAATGCATTATGATAAAGAGAAGTGTAAACTAAGCACATTTTCTTTTAAAATGTTGTTGTTTTTAATTTTTGTAAGCTATTATTACAGTTTCAACCATTTTTTTTTTCCAACTCCAATTTTTTATTTTATTTCAGTTAATGACAATGTTTTTCGTCATTTCACTAATTATAGTTAATAACCGTAGTCCCAACGCGTTCAACATAGAGAGGCTTTCAGTGTTCCTGCAGAGACAAATACATCAAAACATCATGGAGAATGGATGATATCAGCGGGAATGACTGCAGGGAACAAAACCTCACTTCATAAAAAATAAATAAAATGGCATAACAAAAAACAATCTAAAATAATAGTCTAGGCATATAGATAGAAAATCCTATTCATATTCAGGGGCTAATACTTTTGGAATATACAGCCTGCGCAACATTATCAAAAACATTAGAACTTTTATTCCTCATGTTCCTAACAGACGGAACGCATTTCACTGAGATTTCCGATGACAGATCAACAAACTAACGCATAACTGAAGTGGATGCAATGCACTTGTTAGGTATACAATGAAGGAAAAGTCTCAGCTTGGATGTTTACAGCAGGTAGAGACATACCCCCATGGATAAACAGCTGTATTTAGAGTGAAAGGTTGTTCTACAAGGTATTTACTTAGTTCAAATTAGAAAAGAACTCTGAGAAACTTTGGCTAAGTAGCTCATTAGTAGAACAAGTCATTTAGGGGACACAGCAAACATCAATAGTGCACGAAAGAAAGCTGTGTATTAATTTTCTGACGAAACTTACAAAAAACGTGTCTATTACAATAGTATCATATCATAGAGATTATGTTTTTAAAAATAGGAAAGTGGACCAACTAGAACCTGAACTGGTTGTAAACTCCAGGGCAGTAGAGTAAGGCAGTGAGGACGCTTTGCTGGGGACACACGCTCCGCAGCACCAGGCCGATGCCGTACATGGACGTCAGCAGGAAGAAGACCAGAGTGAGCAGGAAGCTGCCGTGATTGGCCTGGCCTACACAGTTGTTTATCCTGCATCAGGACAACAGCTTCAGTCAAGGCACAGAAAGAGTCAGACCAAACTTAAACCTGATTAATTCACTCTGCAGACACAAGCAGGAACTCATATTGGACTGAAGAGGTAGTACTTAGACTATGTTTGGATCACTGTTGTTATACAAGTAAAAAAAAAAAAATAAAGGTTTGTTATCACTAAGTTGCAACTCCTTCATTAGAAGTAAACATGCAAATATCTTCTCACAGGAAGAAATATATATTTGAAATCCAACTATAAAGGTTTTACTCTAATTTAACGTGGTTGAATGTTAGCAGTTTTTCTGACCATCCATGGGGTTCGGTGGATGATTTGCCAATATTTTAGGAAGAATTGAAGCCAGTTGAATAAGGGTGGTTTTGAAGTTCAAATATTCAAATACAACAAAAATTCAAATATTCAGCAGAGTTGGGATCAGAAGCTTAATGCTGACCACCTTTATCTTGTCCAAACCAGTTCTAATGTGTGTGGTGGGGAAAATTCCATCTTCTGGTAATTCCCTTTTACATATATTTATGTAGGTATACATATTAGGGCTGCAACTAAAAATTATTTTGCAAATCCACTAATCTAATAATGGGATAGCCAAAGGTTCCTTAAAGAACTTTTTAAATGAAATTAAATCAGGTTAAACTCAAACTTTTCCACTTTAGTTCTGGATAAAGCATAAACGAAAATGGTTTGTTTGTTGTTGTTGTTTTGTTTTTTTTTTATCTTAAATGCACAATGTTTATATATTCTTTTTACAATTTTGATATAATTACTGCTCTAAGTGGGTTGCACTGTCAGCTAAAGGCATGTTTTAGAGTCTATATACTGCCGGTAATGATTAATTGATAACTTAATTAGTTGATGATTTTTTTCAATAAAAAAATGTTTGGCCATAATATGAGGTAGTTCTCAAAACATTTGGACTCTTTCTCCAACTACCTGATTTTTGCTTTGGGTAGAAAGGCGTGGAGACCTTCACAGCTTTTCTGCAGGGTTAATTAGGGAGACACTAACTTTGGCTTGTCAGAACAGGGCTGAATATCATGCAATAAGGTCTGTATGATGTTGCTGTTGATCTCTCTGCAAAGATGAAATAAAATGCAGACCGACTGAAATCCATTGATCTCCTTTTATTGAACTGGAGTTAATATTTTAATACCTTTTTCCCTTGTCATGTGCGTTTGGGATCATTGTCCTGCCAATTGTGTCAAATATTAATCATCTGAACCAAACTGTTTCTATTACACGTTAAATTGTTTAGTTAAGGCATAAACTGGAAGCTTATGAAAAGCTTTCAACAAGCTGTAAAAAAGGCAGCGCCATGTAAATCTGAAGTTAGCCTTTACCTACATTCATAAGTACGTTTATGGTCAGCTGGGGAAAAAAGCCAAAAAATGACTAGCCTATCTGTATAAACAAGGAGGACTCTTTAAACCTTCCAACAAGGTGTGAACGGTCAAGCATGGTAGTGGTAGAATCATGCAAATGGATAAAGCAGGAAAATTTAACCTGCACTAAGCTTCAGAAGGGTTTTAAGAATAATCTAATTTTCTTCCAATAAAAACCAAACAGGTTAAAGTAGGGAGGATGTAGGAGACTATGATTTGACATTAAAATGATGTTATGGCAGAAGCTGGTAAAGAGTGTTTTTGTTCTATTAATAAAAAGGATGCATTCATTTGATCCTGATTATGGTTAATAAAATCGAAAATAAATTCAAACCTATGCATCTAATTCTTGTTTTTAAAAATTGTGAAAGGTGTTTAAATAAAAAAAATAAAACTGAGCGGTGGCAAGTAAAAAAACCCACCAGACACAGTGGTGATCGAGACGCCGCACGCAGACGCCACAGATCCGACAATGCCCTGCTCTTGGTGGCCGCTCCACCCTGCAGACTGAGCACCAGTTCCTCCGCCTATCTTCCTTCAACTCCGACCCTTCCTGCTCTGATGATCCCATCCGACTCACTGCTGTCGACACTTCCAGCTTCCCTCCGTTGAAGTGGGCGTCTCCATCTGCCGGGGGGCTGTAATACGTCACCGTGCTGTGGACGGCCCGTTTGTCCAGCCGAACGATGCCAGGATCTCTCCTGGTGTGAAGAAGAGTCAGCAGGGTGAGGATGACTCCTGAACTAATAGCTGCCAACTCAAACTGACCCACATCCCCACGTGGGAACACTTCCCAGATGAACAGGTAATACATGTACGCCAAAGAGAAGAGGGCCAGGCTGAGGAAGAAGAGGGTCTGCCCCTTTTTTCGGTGGATGAAGTAGTAGTACCACAACACCAGGCCGGGCAGAGCCGTCAGAACCAGCACCCCAAGCAGAATGTGGAGAGCTGCGAGGTGTAGCAGGCCGGGAAGGAGAATGAGAGGAGGGATGATTGATAGATCCAGCTTTCGGGCTCCGCCCCAAAACCATGGTACCCGGATCCGGTCTGAGATCACTGCAGTCACATGCGACAAGGATTCAGGTTTCTGAGGCTCTCTCTTTAGAAATCTGTAGAAACAACAGAAAAAACTGATTAAGAAGCGTCTTTACTGCTTCCATCGGGTCAGAGTTCATGAGAAATGGTGAAATGTACCAGGTTTAATGTTCACTGAAAACAAAACTGAGCAAAATTAAGAAATTTAGGGCAGATTCATTTGTGATCTTTTATAATTGGATTCCAGGCAGATTAGATTTGACTTAATTTAGACTTAGATAAACTTTGTCATTTCTGTATAGAAAACGAAATTCCGTTTCACACTGAAATGAGCAGCTTCCAACAGTGAACCAGTGGAGTTAACATTAGCATTTATCAAGTGCAGCAGTGATCAGAATCTAAACGGTGTAGTAGAAAAGAAACCTGTTTAAAAATAATGGTGCAAAAGCGCATTAATATGAAAAGGTTCAGTGCGTTTTATGTTCAAAACTTCATTCTCTTCTCCAGTGACCATGTTAAGATGAAACACGGACATTGGTCCTCAATTTCCAAAACTTTATCATGGTTTATGGCCTAACAATGTGAAGCCTCTTCCCAGAGGGCAGCAGGGAGAACAGTCCATGTTGGGGGTGTGAGGGGTCACTGATGATGTTACAGGCTCGGGACATGCTGGAATGAAAGGTCCTTAATTAAGGAATAGGAGCCTCAAGGATCCTGACGTTCTTCCAGTCTGAGGCGCTGCAACCTCCACACCACATAGTGAGACAGCTGGTCAGAAGGCTCTCTATGGTGAGTTGTATTCTGTAATCTCCCATACGCCTTGCCACATCATCCTGGTGTTGTTGGCGTCATGAAAAGATCCTGGATTTACTGACTGTGGCTCCGCTTCGCTGACCTGATGGCACAGTTCAAGTTGGTTCTCGCTGTTGTCAGTGCCTCTTTATCACCAGACTTGAAAGCTAAGTTCTGTGCTTTTAGCGATTTCCGAACCTCTCCATTCATCCAGGGTCATTGGTTGGCCCGAGTGATGATGTTCTTTGTGGTGCTGACATCTTCAATGCATTTGTTGATGTAGGCTGACACAGTCATGGCAAACTCATCAATACTGATCTTGTTGTCATATGTTGCTGCAGATTTTAACATGTTCCAGTCAGAGCACTCAAAACAGTCCTGGAGTGCCTCCATGGCGCCCTCCTTCCACACTCTCAACTGCTTCACAGTAGCTTCTGCTCTGATCAGCAGGGGCTTGTATGCAGGAATTAGCATTACCTCTGCTCTTCAGTGGTCTGAAAAGCAGAGGTGGGGACGAGGGGCTGCTCTATATGCGTCTTTTACATTAGTGGAAACCAAGTCTAGATTATTCACTCCCCGAGTAGCAAAATCCACATGTTGGTAAAAATAAGGGAGAACGGTCTTCAAATTGGCTTGGTTAAAATCTCCAGCAATGATGAAAACGCCCTGCGTGTGTGCAGGTTGAAGCTCAGAGAGTCTGATAGAGAACACTCATGGCCTCTTGTGTATTAGCGGTGGGAGGCACATACACAGCAGTGATGCTAACAAGAGTAAACTCCCTCAGTAGTTTGAAGGTCTGCAGTTAACAGTCAAAAGCTCAATGTCCGGAGAGCAGAAGCTGGCGACAGATCTAGCATTTTTACACCAGTTGATGTTGATGTAAACACACAGCCCCCCCTCCTCAGGTCTTACCCCTGAGTTTACCGTTTCTGTCAGCGCAGAATAGAGAGAGCCCATCCAGGCTAACGGGGTTGTCCAGTATTGATGAGTTCAGGCATGTCTCCGTCAGGATGACTGACAGTTATTAAACTCCCTTTTTGAAGAGAGTTTTGAGTTGTACATGATCCATTTTGCTGTCCAGTGAGCGGATGTTGGAGAGCAGCAGTGAAGGGAGTGTTGGTTTGTAGGGGTTCGCTGTTAGCCCGGCTCTGCAGCCTCACTTTCGCTGTCGGTCACAACGTCTTCGCTTGCTGCTCCTCTGGCGTGTGCTGCTCAGAGGGTCCACTGCTTTGTGGGCATCGTGGCCATGTGCCCGAAGCAATCCGAAGCTACTCAAACGATCGAGAGTAGCTGTTTTTACGAGTCCAGGAAAAACACTTGATGACCGCATCTCCAGCAGGCGCTGGCAGTCATAAACTAACCTACTGGATCGACGTGTTGTTTGTAGCATGCTAGATGGCACATTTGGTAAAAAAAAAGCTTGCAGGTCTTTGGGCGCTGTACGCAGCCACAGCCATCACAACGCCGCCATCTACTAATGTTGCTTTCCATAATATCTGTCACAACTTTTCAAGGCTAGCAGGGAGGGGCCAAGATGGTGCTGCACAGTGGAGAGACAGTGAGATGTTAGAGCATTAATAAAAAGATAAAACTCTATTTAAGCCTGAGGGAAAGGCTCCATTTGGATGTGGGACCCCTCAATATATAGAAAGGTGAGCATGTGATGATCTACCTCTACTGATTAAAAGTTATCTTTGACATGATTAAGTTCAGAAGAAGCTCGTTTTCTGTAAAGTTAACATCCTGCTGGTCGTCTCTACATCCAGGTTGTTGTGATGGTAGATCTCCCTAAAACGTGACGGTAAAGAGTTTCACTCAAATTCATGAATTTCCCACTCAGCACCCAATATTGCCAGAAATGGTTTCTGTTGTGCGTTAGCAATAGCATCTATCTTTCTGTGTTTACCGTTTAACAAAATAACATATTTGAGCATTAAGACCTGGGATAGGAACCTTGGGTACATCCCTGCTGCAAACCTGGATGAAATGAGTGGCTCATTATCAGGCCTTGACCAAACCGGTTGGCGGGTTAAGGAGATAATCAATCATGTACCTAAAGGTTACAGAGCAGTAGATCTGAAGGACTAAAGCTGAAGACTGCTGACATAAAGGATATTTTACTGCAAGCATCAAACCCATGAGACATTTTTTTGATAGTTGGTTTAAGTTGGGTAACTAAATCACTTGCAATGTAGTGATATATAAAACCCAAGACTGAAAGAGAGTGCACTTTCTGCCTCTAGAATTTCAGTACAAGTCTAGTTACTGTAAAAAAACACTGTTTTACAGAACAGTATGCATCGTTCAGTAACAAACTTGAATAAAGAAATATTTGTCTATAATGAATATAAACTTACAAATGGTCTGTAAACAACAGAAGGTGGTGAAAACATTTGATCTGGATTTTTTGGTTTCCATACATTTTGTTTTGTTAGCTTTTCTTATTGCTGGTCTAAATCTTTTTGTTTTCCCAGTTTAAAAATAGAGAAATAAATGAAAAAGAACCCAAAGCATTGCAATAAGCCCTAATATGTGTGAAGCTATGCCTGATTGTTTTCTCTTCAAACACTTTGACTCTATTTAGCCTTTTATCATGAACGCAATACAGATTCCCCATTCTGATAGCTTCTGAGCAGCTCCTCCTCTCACCTGTCACAGGCCTCGTCCAGGTCCTCGCAGTCGCAAAAGCAAGCAGCGACATGACTGCGTTCCCCGTGTCTGTTAACATACTCGCAGCAACACAACACCTCCTCCTCCTCCTCTTTCAGCTCCCGTTTGGTTCTCTTCTTCATGACTGACAGCAGTGCAGCCTGTGGGATGTTTCAAAAGCACATTCATTAGGTATGCACCCTGATGCTCTATCATTCCAGTTCTTTTCCCTAAACAGAGATCACTCAGGACAAACTCTTTAAATAACACTTCATAACTTTTATGAATTAAATAACCAGGAGACATGACAACAGATTCTGATAGAAATTGTAATCTTACTCAGATCAGAGAAATTGCTTAGAATGCACAGAAGGCAGCTGCTCACCTCTGGGCTCACCTCTCAGGAAGTGGCCCCGATTAATAGTTAAAAAGGCATTTTATACATCTCCAGTCTCCCACATCATCACCTTTTACATCATACACGTTAGCAGATGATTAGACATCCATGGCTCCATCCTTATCAAAATATTACACTTCATTCTTAGCTGAAGGACACGGCTCTCATTCCATTTCCAAACCTTTGCCATGTACAAAATGAAGATTATAACTGTATATCAGGACACAGGAACTGTCTTGATTAGATTAAAACATCAGTCCTGACGCGCAACAGGCAGCCACTACCAAGGTGTAATAAACTCACACGTTTTCAATGCTAATTATCCTAACAATCGTAAGCATTGCAGAAGTGTTTAAACCCGTTTAGCTTATCTGCAAAGCATGTCACATTATTGTTCTGTCTAACAAAAGCTGATGCATGAGATTTGGAGGAAAATAATGTTAACGTTTGGGCTGTCTGAAGCAATTTCAGAGCAAACCAACATGGGTGTTATAAATGATTTAGTCCCATCACAGATGGACCCAGGATTCAGAAATAAGTCTAAATGCAGCCCTGCAAACCTACACCAACCTCACAAAGATGGGTGCTTTAAACCCTTTAACAAATAAGAGTAGAATTCACACTCCCCAATATAGTTTTTTTTTTCCAGTTACTTACAACTAAGGGACTTTGTAATAAAACACAGAGAGTGGACCAAAATCCTAGAGCCCACTAAAATCAAAGAATTCTTGATAAAATTGCAAACAGGTAGAGGGAATAAGAAAATTCTTAGTTATTTTTATTTATAGAGATGTATCCTAACAAAAATGTACAGATCAAAGAAAAATGGGAGAGTGAAATGAATATAGATATACAGCAAAACAGATGGGAGGAAATATGCACTGACTTTAATACATGGTGAGAATTTAGGTGGAAGATAATAAGTTTCTTTATGAAACCAGCGGTCATATCTAAAATGGGGTCCATACACTTAGATAAATGCTGGAGAAGTTGTTGGCGACACATTGGCAATCTTACTCATATATTTTTGACATGCCTTAAATTGAGACGAGAGGGGACGAGAGATGGAAGGCAGTTAGAAAAGTATTTCAGAAAACGTTTAACAAAGATCCTGAGATGGTACTGCTTGGATTATTTCCAAAAGACAAAGACCTTCTACAAATATTACTGATTGCGGCTCTTAAATGCATCACAGTTAAATGGTTGAAGCCTGACCCGCCAACATACAAAATGTGGATTGAAAAGGTCTAAAAAAAAAAATCTATCATATGGAACAAATAACTTATTGCTTGAGGCTTTAAAAAAGACATATTTGTTAATAGGAGGAAACCGGCCATGACCATAATGTAGTAAAAATCTCACTTTTTTTGTATTTTCTTTTTATGTATTATACTCCTCCTTTATCTTTACTTGCTTATTTTATTTTTTAGTTTATTTTTATTTCATTTATCCATCTCCATTTGCTTATTTAATTATTAACTATATTTATGTTTGTAAGTTATTCATGTTTAACCATGTGACCTACTTTACTTGTAAGTTTTAACACGGTGCATATACTTTCAAAGTTTGTTCTTTTTTTTTTAAAAACTGAATGTGGGCTTGTAAGTATATGTCTGTGTAAGTTGCAAAAATTGAAATAAAAATTAAGTGATAAAAAAACAGCTGATGCGTGTTTGTGAAGTGAGGGAAAAAAAGTTAAATTTTAACCAATTTTTACGAGTAAAAATTCAAAGCATGGCCTTTATTTGTATTCAGCTCCAGGGGTGTAAACTTTATATGAGATCAGAATGAAAAGGATGTAAAAAGTTTCAGATGAGGCAGAGGGAGGAAAAACACATCAACAGAAATGACTCTAAACCCATTTATGCTAAAATAATCTCTTAATACAGCAGATTATGAATCATTTTCCCACACATCACTCTGATGTAAAGCCCTTGCTCACTTGACTTGACCTGATCTGTCCACTTCACAAACATCTGCCACACATCTGTCAAGCTTAAGCGAGAGCCCTCCCATCCATTCAGTCCATTCGCCGATTTATCGCCTTGACCGAATTAGGTTGAGGTGTTGTCGGCATAAATTACAATCACAGGGCTTCAGTGTTGCCTCAGTTAAACATTTATAGCCAACCGGCTGTGTGTTTCCTGGATGGGGCCGCCTTTTATAGTTGCTTTCTGTATCTCTGCTTCTGTCTCCTTGAATCCCAGTCGGCCTCAGCAGATGGCTGCTCACACTGAGCCTGGTTCTGCTGGAGGGTTCTTCCTGTTAAAAGGGAGTTTTTCCTCTCCACTGTCGCTACAAGCATGCTCAGTGTGAGGGATTGCATTCGAGTCAATGAGTCGATGCAACCCACTGGTTTTCCTTAGATAGAAAACTTTAAATCAATGGGCTCTATGCACAGCTCCACTACTTCCTGAATTTAAGGCAGCTCCTTTGTTTCCTGTCTTTCATTACTGGACGAACTGATTAATCCAGGTGTGTCTGGCCAGTTACTTAGGTCATACACACCTGGATTAATCAGTGCATCCAATCATGAAAGACAGGAAACAAAGGAGCTGCCTTAAATTCAGGAAGTAGTGGAGCTGTGCATAGAGCCTATTAGACTGTATGATCTGGTGAACTGTAAAGTGCCTTGAGATGACTTGTGTTGTGAACTGGCGCTATATAAAACTGAATTGAATTGAATCAAGCTTTAAAGACATTTCACAGAAATTTTCCAAAGAGCCATTTCAATCTCCTCTAAACAGCAAAAAAAAAGTCATTTTAGGACCCTAACCAGGCTCTTGACTGGAAGGTGAATGCTTCTACAGTCAAAAATATGACTAAACAGGTTTAGCTTTCAAGAAGTCAAACTATTTAAACCTAAAATTATCAATACTCTTGTCGGATTTATTTGTTTTGATTGCTTTATTTTTCAAAAATTCCTCAGAACAAAATTGATGCCATTCGGCTGTGACGATAAAGAGAGGAAATGAGCCTGAGGGTCTGACGTCTAATATCAATGTCATACGAAGTTATTTATTTTTACAGAATATTTATAGTGGGGGAGAATAGTCTGGGCAAGATGTGTAATTCAGCCGTCTATCAAACAAGGCTCGTGATGACATGGTGGTACCAGCACATCACTCGTTCACTGTGCTCTATTGAGAATATTATTGTTAGAGAATGAGATTGTACAGAAATTATGTAATAAAAGTCTTATTTTATTGATGAGTAAACATGGGGGGGGGTAGTTGTACTATTCAGCCATTTGAGGTGTGCAGGAACACATGTAGAAAATGCAGAACCTTGGCTGCAATTTAAAAAATGGAATCGTCTAGAGCCGTTTCAAACGAAATGTCTTTTTGTTTACACTTGTGTATACAAAAAGATAAAATAAATCTGTCTCTAACATTGATTACTAGAACTGTTTTAGATAATGGACCCAACCGGTCTGACTAGTGCAATAAAATAAAATAAAAAACGACTTATTAAAGTAATAACATTACATTTTATTTAGATTGAAAGCTATATATAGGGCTGAAACAATAAATCGATTTATGGTTAAATGTAATATCTAGACTGTAAAACATGCATTTAGCTGACAGAGCAACCCACTTAGAGCAGCAATTATACTAAAATTGTAATTAAAAAATATATATTTTTTTGTCTGTCAATATGCTCTATCCAGAATTTCTCAAGTGGAATTTTTATACTTTAATTTCCTAAAAAGTCTTCAAGGAACCTTTGGCTATCCGATAATTAATCGAAAAAAATAATCGACAGATGAATCGATTTGCAAAATAATCTGTTCAATCTGTTTTAAGTAAATGTAGGTATATTGTTTTCTTTTTTTAATGAAAAGCTACAGGAAGGTGATAAAGTTACATTCCTTAAATAAAAGTAATCGTTTTTCATGCGTTAAAAAGAAAACCAGAGAAAATAAAACAAGCTGACAGCCTGTAGGACACACACCGGAAGGTCCTTTCCAAATATGTCCGGACAGAAACAGATATTCGTACCTAAACATACGCCTCCTCCAACATGGTGCTCGTCACCTCCACCGCGGATAATGATCGCAGTGAAGTGTCAGGAGTCCGCAGATGGCTGCCACCTGGTTCTGGTTCGGTTTTGGAGGGTAGTCCTGTGTCTGTGTGCAGGGAAAAGGAACTGTCTGCTTCCTGAATGTGGCGGACCCCGTCCGCCCACAACTTCTACCGCCCAGGGGCGGAGCTACAGGGGTGGCCATGGCTACCCTTACCCAATCATTGGCGCCCCTGTGGCCACCCCTACGATTTTTTCCCCCCATAATACTGACAGTGGCAGCAGTAATACTCCCAAGTGATACTACAGTAATACTGTCAATATTCAAAACATTTAAATTTTTCATAGATTAACAATTGACAACAAAAACACTGTCACTGCCTCTCTCCATCCCCCGTTCAGGACCTAGAAGCTACACCAACGTAGCATCTCCAGACCTCCTGCATTAAATTAACGCACAGCCGGGTGTGTATATAGTGTATGGCTATATGCTACATATTGTATATAGTATATTGCATTTTTTATAGCTATACATTCTTTATTCGGTGTATATATCGAATTTGTCTGCACCATCAACACCAAATCCAATTCCTTGTAAGTGCAAACCTACTTGGCAATAAATCAGATTCTGATTGTGATTACATCTCGCATAAATGTAACATATAATATTAGAAAAAAAAATGTTTTTAAATCTTGCCAGAAGTACAAAATGTTTGCGGTAATATGATGGCATGGTCCTGCTTTGAGACCTGGAAGACTTGGTGTAATAAATGAAAAGAAATTATGTATTTTGTGTTAAACTCCATGAGGTGAGCGACCATATAGCTCCAAGCGGTGGATAGAAAGATCAGGGGTCATTATGCTGAATTAACTACCGAAGGGAAACATCCTGCTTGAATGAAAAAAGGAACATATAAACATATTCTTAATGTTTTTATCAGAAATGATATAGATTTTTTTTTCTTTTTTTTTTTTAGAATAAAGTCATAATATTACGAGAATGAAGTCATCCTATATTAACAAGTTTAAGAAGGAAAGCTTTGAGTTTGAAGTTTATTTTGTTTCAAAACTATTTGTGCATTGTAAGCGTGAATTTGAAGTTGTAGAGAGAGTTACATTCTAAGTTTTGTATGTGTAGAATTTAAAAAAAAATCACAAGTACAAATTTTTTTACACCTGTTCAAATTTTAAGTACAGTTACAGAAATTCTGTTCTACAAGTTGCACATCAAAAACCTCCTACATTCTCAGATTTTCTCCAAATAGTCCAGAACTATTGTTGCAAAACTATTTGTGCATTGTAACTTTGGTGTTTTGTAACTTTAGATTTGTTTAAATCTATCACAATTACTTAGAAAAAAGCTTACACCTCTTCAAATTGTTGAGTAAAGTGCACAAACTGTGTTCTCTGAGTTGCACATAAAAAATGTCTTCCATTCAGTTTTGCTACAGTTGATCTAAAACAAATGTTTCAAAACAAATTCAAATATGCGTATTAAAGTCTCCAAAAATCTCTTTTTTTCCCGTAACACAAATACAAATCAATGATTATAACTACAAGAATCTGCTGCTGCGAGTCACAATTTCAACTTTACAAGGTAGGCCTTCATTTTCACTTTTGACACAAATGTCAAACTGGTCTTTTGGAAGGATTTTCAAAGTTGGATCTTACAGAAGACTTCTTTACCACTTTTGAATTTTGATATAATAAAATTTGTTTTTTTAACGGGGGATAAAGAATCAAACTATGGAATAAACAATATAATTCTTTTAGCCTAATTTTTCATACATAAATGTCAATTTCAAAAAATTGCCCCATCTCTTAATATTTTTATAAGTGAGATACTTTTATTAAAAGAAGTACTAAACCATTGTAAAAACCCTAAAGCCCAATCAATTATGCAATATACTAAGAATTTACTTTAAAATTCAAGCATCCTAATATTACTTTAGCGGTAGTTTCAAGGTGTTGCTTTATGGTATATCTCGTACCATGTCTTTCGGTTGTGCCGTTCTTTTTTCATCTCCTTACAGGTGATGAAGCAGACTGAAAATGTTTTGTCATTGTCTCCTTTCTATCTCTTCTTTCTTTCATCTTTTCTCTTTTTTTTCCTTTTCTTCTTGTTTTTCTGCACTATTTACATTGCAGTGTCCATATAAACTGTAAAACTCCCTGCATAATTATAATAAAGCAATTTATATGCATGAAACAAGTGGAGCAATATGGCAATTGCCATACTGCTACACTTGTGAAAGTAAAATCTGTTGGGCTCTTTTTGGCATCAAGACAATTATTCCTATTGCCACATTGCCAGACAGGACACTGTAAAAAATAAAAATAAATAAATAAATAAAACTCAAGAGTCCTTTTGTGTTTTGTTTTTATTTTCTAATTGTATATAGGTTCTCTGTATGATTCTATTTGTTATATTATACATACTCTGCTCAGCTTCTTAAGATATTCAATTTACAATTTTGTATAATTGTTTTGATATGCCTTGTAATACTTTGATTCTTCAATTAAAAAAAATGTCACACTGGTAAAAATGATCTGTGACTTATGGGTAGTATCCTTGAGCGGACAGCAGGGGGCGCTGCCTGTTTGGTCTCTCTATACAGCAAAGCAGGAAAAGGATAAATCCCGAACTTGTTTCTTTTGTTGTTGTTTTTTTTTCATATATTTATTGTAAAGTGAACAAAGACTACACACATGATAATACAGAGTGGAATAAAGGTGACAACCACCGAGAGCATGAACAAATAAAAACATGCTGCTGTCATTTTGCACATCTCTGTTGTTGCTATTTTCAATTATCCATTACTCTAAAACCTCCATAGCTGTATATTGGTTATTTATTCTCCAGGTGCACAGTTTTGTTTACACTTTACATTACAGTATTTCATTGTTTACCTTTTAAGTCTTCACTATTATGTTATTCTTATACATTTTTCTAAAGGTCCACATTTGTCTGACCATTTTATTTTTTTTTTTGTATAATCTTGTTGCTGTAAACACCAGAATTTCCCCATTGTGAGACAACAGTGCTTCTTGTAAGAGTTGTCATAAAATACAACTTTTGTAATTCGTTTCTGTAATTTTAGGATTTATTCTCTTAATATGTGACTTAATTCTCGTAATTTTATGACTAATTCTCGTTGTGACTTTTTTTCTCGTAATAGAACATCTTTGTCAAAAAAATACGAAAAATCTCTAGTCTGGCCCTAATAATAAGTTGTAGAGGGAATTCTCGGCATAACATATATTTAGAGGCATTTTTTATGATACATAAGTTACTGACATAAGTCAGTTTTTTTACACTGAGTAGCACTACTACTCCTAGTAGTGCTGATAATGCAGAGTGGTAAACAAGGAGAAGAAGAGAGGAGAAAATTCAAGCGATACCCTTCATCAGTCTTTATGGGCAAAGCTTTCAGATATGCTAAAAAGTTTCTCCATTTCACATTTAACTTTTTTCCCCCCAGGAATCAAAAAAATAGTTTTAAATAACACACACCACTGTATGAGTAGTTTGGAGCATACTGGATGTTAAAATAAAAATCAACATTTCAATACTGAACCAGTGTAATAGGAATACTATGTAACTCAATCCGGCTGTAGATGCCCCACAGTATTCTAATCTGTCCCAAGGACAAACACAGAGCATTATCAAGAGGAAACAGCCTGCTGGTCAATAATTAAATACTCTGTGTTGGTTTGTTCTGTAAAAGAGGATAAGAGAGACATTAGGATTTAGTTTTATTTAATCATTTATTGTTTCCCCCTTCAAGGAGGATGTAAAGTCCAGCTAGCCTTTAAAAAAAAAAACTTAGTGTTCAAGTTAAAAGTACCTCTTAAGTAGTGACAAATGCAAAGGAGTGAACAAATATTAGCTGAAAAAGGTGACACAGGGTGACAAGGAAAAAAATAAAAAGAATCCTGAACCTGTTAATGTACAAAGGAGAGATAGCGTACGAAAGAAAACAGCCTGTGAAGAACTGGATGAACCTATGAGGTCCTTTTAACATCCAGGAGGACGTTGTAAACAATAAACCTGGCTCAATGGTATTGTGCATCAACAACAGTTTAAGAAAATGAGTTTTCTCTTAAATATTCAAAATCGGAGCATACAAATAAATCTAAATTATAAACAGTGGTATACACCCGGTGTGTGATGATCACAAACATACAATCCCTGAAATACAAAATTAAATGTAGACCAAAACTGTTACATAATTTTAACAAAGATACTTTCAGGATTGAGTCACTGATTCAAAAGTTTTTATTAAAATCAAGACAGATCAAGAGATATTAACAAGACTTGTGCAAAATTTAAAATTCTTAAATAATAATAATGCACGTACCAAAGCTAAAAACAAAAAGTATAAATATTCACACTACTGTAGTTACCTACATGTGGCATTGCTCTGGGTAAAAACAGAATTATAATGCCACTGCTTTAAAAATAAAAAAAGGAGAGAACCCTGAAGAAGTTTACGTCTGGTGCTCGATGCTCACCAAATGCAAGCTCAGCGCTTTTTTAACAGTTATCATGTGGAGCTGGCTTGCAGCCCCGGCAACATGTGGCACGTCTGGAGCCTGGAGATGCAAGCGGAGCAACAGAGCTGTGGATACCAGGTCTCCTCTGAGGCAGGCTGCTGCAGCAGGCTGTCGGACGTTCAGCTCAGATGCGAACATGATCTCACCGGTGTGCAGTCGGTTGTGGACGAGGTCACTGTTGTGTTGCTGTTCGATTGGCCATAGCAAAGTTCTGCTGGAGCACAACCAGAGAGGTACGGAGCTGCGGAGAACAACAACAGTGAAGATTAGGCTTCTGAATATTAAAACAAACTGCAACCTAATCTGCCTGCTAAACTACAGCATGCAATTTTTTTTGATACAGTAATTAGAATTAAATAGATTAAACTAAATAAAATACTGGACTACTAATCAACTTCTTCTCTGTAAGCACAGCTGATCTGAAAGTTTTGGGAAATTGTTTGGAACAAACACCGTCATGAAGCCCGAGGAGCACGGCAGACGGGTCGGACGGAAGGATGTGGACAGGTTGGAATTATGAAAAAATACAAAAAGGAAAGATCTCCCACTGTGCTGTTCAAGCAATCTAAAAACTGTATGGCTCTATGACAAACCTACCTAGACATGAATGTCCACCTAAACAGAGCATTAATAAAAAAAGACTAAGATGCACAGCTGCACAGTGGTGCAACCCTGCCGCCTTGCAGCAAGAAGGTTCCGGGTTTGATTCCCTTTCTACATGGAGTTGGCATGTTCTCCCAGTGCATGTGTGGGTTCTCTCCTGGTACTCTAGCTTCCTCCCACAGTTTAAAAACATGACTGTTAAGTTGCTTGGCTTCTTCCACGTGAGTGAGTGTGTGAATGGTTGTTAGTCCTGTTTGGCTCTGTGTTGTCCTGCGATAGACTGGCGACCCGTCCAGGGTGTACCACATCTCTCGCCCATTAACAGCTGGCAATATCACCCTCACTACCCCAATTGGAATAAGCCTGACAGAAAATTTATGGATGGACTTAAAGATACAATGGTAACTCTGGAGAGGCTGCAGAGACTTTCAGCTCAGGTGGAGGAATCTGTCCACAGGACACCCATTAGTCGGGACAAGAAGAAACCATAAGGTGTTATTTTCCATAAGTCATTTTGTTGATACAGCAAGTATGAAATAAAGTGTTCTGTTCTGGCCAGAAAAAACCTGACCCATCTGGCCAAAGGACAAAACACAGTAGAAGCAGAACACTAACTCTGGACCACACATCTATATTGTAAGACAGGGTCAATCCTACTTTGGAGACGTATTTCTTCAAGAGCGATGTGAAAGCTGGTCATTACTGGCAGAAAAATTGATAAAGACAAACACCAAGGTTTATTTTCTAGCAGGATAACACTGGATGCATCTATTTCCCAATACTTGTGAATGTAACAGGCATTTAGCTCAGCAGAGTCCTGGTAACAAGTGACTCATTTGATTTCAGGAATGTTGGAAAACTCGTACATCGAAAAGCTGCAAGACGATAGCTCCTGCGGAAAGGACTTGGGCTCCTCCCCTTGTTTAGATCATAGATTAAGTGGAAAAAACCTGTAAATATACATTTTCCATTCTTGCCAAATATCCTGAATTGGATTTAGGTTTAGACTTTGACAACCCTGTTTTACAAAATGCTGACTGAACTTTCAAGATTAAAAGGCTAATTTAAGTAAAAAGCTGGTATGGGGATTCTCTAGAAGACCTGCAGTAAGACGAAATCTAAAAAAAAAAAAAAAAAAACTTTGCTTAAGGGAGCTGAATATAAATGCTCAACACATTTTATTTTGTAAATAGGTTATAAACGATACATTATTTTCCTCCTACCTTCAATTACACAATTCTGCATCGGTCTATCACATTAGAACCCAATTAATTTAGGGAATAGGTTACATTTCATGATGGTATAAAGCTCACTTGTTCTAGAAGATGAATGGAGTCTTGCAGCACAGTTTTTAGCAGCTGCATGTCTTCATTGGTCCTGAACCCTGGTCCTGGTTTGGGACCAAACTGTGGTCCAAAGCTGTCAGAAACAGACCATTAACATATGCATGTAATATCAGATGTATTTATGCTACGTGCAAGCAGAAAAACATGCAAAATTAAGCAACGCATCTTACACAAAACGGTTGCAAAACTTTATAAACGGCCCTATAGATTAACCCGAGAAAATATTAAAAGTTTATCCAACCTGGTCTCCATCCTCTCCCTAAGCCGGTGCTTCGTGGTCAGATACATGCGGTGAGCCACGTCCTCCATGGCCCAAAGCTTAAAAAACAAGCCTAGATTCAGCACGATCAGGATCAGCAGGCTGAAACAATAAGAAAACAATGTTGATATGTCACAACAAGACGGGAGGACAGCGGTATCAGATGAACAATAACACAAACACAAAGGGTTGCAACACCCGTTGAAAAAGGAATGACTTGCATGCTTGAGCTGTAAAGACGTATATCCTCCCTCAAACATAAAAATCACAACATTCAAGTGCATCTTGGGTTCCTTAACTTACATGAAACTCATGCTAGCAACTATGGCAGCAGTGCTCCAACTGTTTGGGACCGTCAGATCTGCTGGGTCTGAAATACAGCACCAGATTGAAATGATTTTGTTAGCATTCCAACAGAAACTTCTATTTTTTTCTTAAAAATCAATACGGAAACCTTGCACTGGTTTTCTGAAACAGGATGTCTTATTCCAGAGACAGGAAATGTTTTGCAAGAGAAACTTGATGAATGTTGCCACACTTTTCAGTTACAATGCATCTTTTTACATTAAAATAACGGTGTCCAACTTCAGGTAATGTATGCAAATAGTTCAGTTTGTAACATTTTCATGCAAATCATAATTCAGCCACCGCCAAGCTGTATGGAGAAGGAAGTAGAGCAAAGCTAGATTGTTCTAAAATGGGAACGTTTTTATTTTAAGTGTTCAATAAAAATGTTTTTACCCAGGTTTCCGTCTCTGGGCTCAGGATCCTGTCCGTACTGCTTGCTGGGCCTTCTGTGATCCAATATGGTGCGGCTAAAAGTTCGCCTCCTCCTGCGGAGTCCTCCCAGCTTCCCCGACTCTGCAGCTGACTGGTTCATCTCTGCCTCCTCCTCCATCAGCTCAGTTTCTGAGTCAACACAAGGAGACAAGCATGTGGAGAAGGAAAGTGGGTTACATTTAAAAATTAAAATCACCTCATAACCTAAGGATAATGAACTATTTTCACGTTTCCCAAAAGGGAATGATTGTTAAATGAAAACCATATCCATTTCTCTGAAACTTTGAGAATTGTATAAACTTTTATGCCAAAACAAAGTCCAAAAAACAAACCCTTTTTTTTTCAGTGCAAACAAGTTACCCTCTGTATTACTGCAATATAAGCTGCCTTGTGTCCACAGTCAATAGCTTCATCCAGCTTTTATATGAATTTCATAGTTCATTAGACTTCTATTTACTATAATTACAAACCATCAGAGTGAGACGCTGTACCTGAGATGTAGTAAAAATCTCTAAAACCTAGACATGTATTTGCATTTATCCTCGTTTACCAGGATAAATAAAGAATTTAGTGCAACTAGCTGCCTTTAAAATCCAATAAGTAAAGAGAAATCCAATCCAATAATGAGAAATCCAATAAGTAAAGAATGAATAATGAGGGAAAAGGAAAACATAGAAAATATGTTTTGGTCAGAATTATTATTATTATTATTATTATTCTTAATATTATTATTATTATTATTATTATCATCATTTTTATGCTGGCAGACATATCCATCTAGAATCTAAATAAAAAATGCTTTGAAAAAAGCGATTAATATGGGCTTTAATACTTTTTAAGGCTGAAAAAAATCAGATTAATCAATTATTGAAATAATTGTCAATTAATTAAATTATTGATTAATCGTTAACTGGAGTTTAGAGACTAAAACATGCCTTTAGCTGACAGAGCAACCCACTTGGAGCAGTAATTATATCAAAATTGTAAAAAGATATACAAGTATTTTGCATCTATGATAGTAAAAATGTTTTCATCCATGAATATCAATATGTTCTATCCAGGACTCCTAAAATGGAAATGTTTTAGTTTCACCTGGTTTAACTTTAAGGAACCTTTGGCTATCTGATTATTTAATCGAAAAAATAATCGACAGATCAATTGATTTGCAAAATAATGGTTAGTTTCACCACCTTATAACGTTAAAAAAAATTGTATTTGGCAAAATATATCTTCCTACAACATTACAATTATGTGCAAATGTGTGCTACCGCATGCAAATAACACAGCTTGATCTAGTTTGCAAACAATTACCAAAATATTTCAGTCAAAAAACATATTAAAAAAACTTTAACATGCAAAAACAATTTCATTGATTTCGTAATCATGTTGTACTTTGCATTTATCCATTGCAATAAATCCAAACAGCAATGTTTAAAGTTGCAGTGTTATTTGTATCTACTGCCAGATAATATTAGTGTTTCATTCTCCATGGTGATATGACTTATTTAAGTACAATAAATGATAATGAAGGCGGGTAGCTGCAGTTTTGTGTGACTTGCATTCAGAGCTTCTGATAAGAGTGACTGTGATATCAGCCTTTATATTCTATGCCCTTCCTGCAAACACAGCAGTAATATGATTCAGCAGTGCAGTACTGTATGTGTGCTACAGGAAACTGTTCATATCAGATAAAATATCAAATAAATCACAGGCTGAGGACAAAAAGTAAAAGGACAAGCCCAGTCTGGCTCTGTACCGTCCAAAAAGAACTCACCCAACTGTCTAAAATAATCTTCAATGCCGCTCCAGGAGTTTTTGGAAATGAAGGATTTGACTAGACCCCATGGGGGTTTCCTGTACTTCACATCACAGTACACCCTAATGACACAAAGGGAAAGGTTTTAGTTCAAAGCTATAGGTTTTAATAAAATAAAAGCAAGCAAATCGATTCTTTACTTCATCACCTTAGTCGACACTTGCGTTTGGAGATGCTTATGATGTAGTAGCGGTTGTGTGTGTAGAAGTAATCATGGTAGGGAACGTCATGAGTGTTTACCTCGGCATCCACCAGGTAATACTGACCCTCCCTGGATTCTTTGTAAAGAGTCTGGCGGGATAGACCAAGCACGGATGAGCTGAACAAAAACCCATGTTTACATGTCCGCTCAGCCATTCACAGACAGAAACACACCTGTTTCTCAGTAGCAGTGGAGAACTTCCCTATCAGGGGGTTATCGATGGTTATGGTGTAGTTTAGGTTCCGCCTGTCATTTCCTGAATCGTCCTTCTGCCAAGGTGTAAAGCTAGGATCTAGGACACACAAAAAAGGGTACATTTGATTTAAAAAAACGCTTTCATGAATAAATTTAATTTAATTTAATTTAATATGAAAGAAACTGATCAAAGGTCCTACTTGTTATCCTTCGGATGCCCATAAACTTGCGGGTGAAGCTGGAGTCTGTGAAGAGCATCTCAAACATTTTGTTGGCACTAATGTGAAAAATCTTGTTGAGATAAAGTCGCCCCGTTTCCCCGGACCTTGCGATTCGGTCCTCCACTGATGGAAGAAAATATAACAGCAACGTCATGAACTGAAACAGCATCAACAAGATAAGATCCACGTTACTGTTTGGCTGCTTTACCATCTTCAAAGGTTTCAGAGCTGCTTTGCTCCGACTCATTCTCGTTGGCGTTAAGGTCCAGAGACTGCATGGAACGCTTGGACAGCCGCTCTGGGACTTGTCTGTCCAACGACAGACCCAGAGGACTTCGCTGCTGAGACGGGGTGCTACGAGATTCGTCCTGCAGGAGAAGGACATTATTGAGATGATGTTTTGAACGAAAGATTGTGCTTAAAGATGCAAGAAAGGAAAAGGATACCGTGTTGGGGGTCTTTTGTGAGCCAATTGGTGAGGGGAAGTCCTCCCCTTGAGGTGTGGAGCTCTGCAAAGGAGCATTCTCTGCCACAGGGAGGCGCAGGCTGTTGGGCCGCTCTGGTCTACTGAGACCATCATCAGCACCACCGCCAGCTTTCTGCTGCAGGCTGAAAACAAATTCCATCAACGCAAGGCCCCTGACTTTTTTTTTTTTTTTAGCCAATTTTAGTTCCCGTGGAACAGGTCAGGAGGATATATATTATTTTAACATTTTGTTTGGTTTTATTTAATCAAAGTAAACGCTACCTCCCCCATTGAGGGTTTCAACTTCAACATACCTCTGATGACATCATATAAGGTAGAATCAGATCAGAGATCTCCTAACATCACATGAATCTTGTTCTGTTCCCTCTTTACTTGCATGTTTTTAAATCAAATGGTCGCTGCTAATTTCACCTTTAACCAGCTTTGTAGTACTGGATCTTTAATTTAACTTGTTGTAGTTTGTAACGAAGCATCTGAAGCATGAAGAATCTGTCTTAAGCCGTTTCTTTCCAAGTCCAACCTAAATCATCCCTTATACCTAATCTGAGGACAGGTGAACACCCAATGATTTGAAGTCATTTTTGTGATTTATTTTGGTTATTTTACTGAATTATAGCTTTTTTTTTTTTTTTTTAAGAATCAGGGTCATGATGTCACTTTTTTGTACCAGCTGGATGGCCCGAATACAGATTAGAAATAGGGTGTTATAGGTGTGTTTTTAAGCATTTTTTTAAGACCATCTTGACAAGTCATTAAAAGTTCTTATCTGAGGAAACATAAACCGATACCTAATGGTTTGAGCGCATGTGTACAGAATACGTTTAAAAAGCAATAGAATGGAAGAAGGATGGGACACATTATCAAAGTTGCTTTAGAGGGTTGTGGTCCATTAAATGTTTCATTAGGATGATTTTGAAGTTTTTATGTGGTTTCCAGCTCTAGCATCAGTTACTTCCTCCAAAATTAATGTTCAGAAATGCAATCATACCAAATGAACCCACTTTGCACGGACCTACTGTACAGCCTACAGAGGAAGTCCCCAAAGTTGCAGAAAGCAGCACGAATCTGAACCCAAATTATATTTATTTTCAACCACAGAGCCTTTTCTTTTGTAGTACAGATAGTACACTCCTGAGTAACATCTTAAAACAGACAAAGAAATTATTAATTTTATCCTGGTTGATCTAACCAGGCTGCAAGTCAAGATCCAAAATAGCAATAACAGTTTTTTTGTGTTTGTTTTTTTTAAGGCCCCTCCTTAGTTTTAGGACTTAGACGAATGCGAAATATGCAGAGGTGGTGGGGGGGGGGGGGGGGGGGGGGGGGGGAACCCCAACATAAAATAAGCCAGATAATTTTAAGCTGACCACAACCATCTTTTCTGTTTTCTATAGCTTCCCAATATGATTTTAAGCTAAACTCTAGATCAAACATGAAAAACACACATAAACTATAACTAAATCTATTCTGAAACTCATTAATATTAAATAAACCCAACTAGTCAGCTCATTTCTTATGCCTCTTATGTCATAAACACAGACTTACACGATAAAAAAATTTTTGTGGTAAAAATAATTTAGTATACATATACTTATTCCTTAGTCAATAAAAAGAACCCCTGTATCGTACATTTAACATCAGATAAAAACAAATCCAAGTATCCTTGGATAAGGAGGTTACCTGGTTTGTCCACTGAATTCTGGTGACACCTGTAAAATCTCCATCTCCTCATTGGTCAGGCCCAAATCATTGCCATAATGCTGTTTAACCATCTGCCACAGCTCCTGGCTTGTCAGAGTCTAAAAGAAAAAGAAATAAATAAATGAAAACCAGAAGCATGTAGAGGTCTCCTCCTCCTTCATTCTCCAAGGTACCAGAAAGGGAGCAGAAAAACAAGCAATTATTAAGATCTCCATAAGGAATAGTTCCCATCTCCATGGGTGACAACCTAAACATAACCATCCGTCAACTGGGTCAGCCAGCTTGCATTATGTTGAAAGAAGCTCAGATTACCCAATATCTGCTGGGGACAAACACCCAGGAGCAAACCTTTAACTTCAGGCGGTAGAAATGAAAACAGATCTGCTCATTTAGACCAATATATAAAAGTTCTTATTAAAATATTTCGGTAGCAGGTTCCTCCGGGGCTCTTACCTGTCAGAGGACATGTCCCCCCACCCCGCTGCGCGCTCTGGTACAAATAACGCCCTGTAACCTGAACGCACCGCCGCCGCGTTCAGGAAGTGCGCAAAGACGCGCCGCCCCAAATCCACCCGGACGGATATTTATTAGGAAACCCGGCGGTCCGGACCGCTGCGACGGTCTGGGCACAAAGCTTTTTGTCTGCAAGCCGCGGAGAACCAAGCAAGTTTAGATCCAGACAGCTGGTCGATGCAGATGAGGTTTCCTGGCCACACCCAGATGGGGTCAATGAACTCAGGTTGTTACGCAGGTGTTTACCTGAGCACAGAGACACCTATGAGGAGACCGTTCAAGGAAAAGAAAAATGTTCAGTTCTGTTGGGTTCCAGCAGAACTGAAAAAAACAGCAGACAAGATAGCTAAAAGTCTTTAGGAAAGCAGAATATAGATCAGGTTCCATTTGGGAAAGGGGGAAAAATCATTAAAAAGTAAGAAACATGGCAAAAAAATTATGGGATGAAGATGAAAAGGAAGATCTAAATCTGTAATTGTTAAAAATTATGGAGAAAGAAGCAGAAGGGAAGAGATAACTTATACTAGAATAAGAACTGGACATATCTACTTGAATGAGTTTCTGTTTGTACTAGGGAAGATAAATAATGACATGTGTGAGGGTTGTGAAAGAAAAGAAAATGTGGATCATGTTCTGATGGATTGCATTGAATATGCAACTGAAAGACAGGATGAGGAAAGTATTCCATTTTGTTTCCAAGGTTTGAAGACGTTTCGCTTCCCATCCAGGAAGCTTTCTCAATTCAAAATGTCTAGATTCACAGTGAGTCTGAAGCTTTTTATAGATGAGGCCTTTTATTGCTTGGAAACATGCAAATTGAAACTGACGAGCGGGTCGTTTTGTTCCATCGTTAGCCTGTAATGTCTGAAACTTGTCTATGGTTTGTGAAGGGTCTGTCTTTAAGGAAGAGATTATTCATCTGGCTGATGAGAGGAGGTACTTTGTTCCTCTGTGATGGGTTGGGAGTTGTGATGATACCGGGAAGGAATGAACTCAATAACTGAACTGTAAGTTTTTGGAAGCTGGAATCTGGATCCACCACCTCTGTTTAAGGTTGTTTTTTCTCTCTTAATATAGAACACCCCTCTCAAACCACCTATTTTCTTTATCCAAAATGTGAACATTCTGGTCCTCAAAAGAATGTGAGGATGATGAGGAAAAAGGGAGAGAATGGAGTATTAAAGGAATTTTAGGGACAGATGGCCTTTAAGTTGTTTGCAATCAGCCAATCTAACAAAGAAGAAGAAGAAGAAATAGGCTGCAATGGCAGATATTAAATGAAACAGCAGAAGTTCACTCTGAATTAAACTCCAGCATAATCCAGAACAGGAGGAGGTCATCTTGTTGCCCAACCTTTTTTCACTTGTGCACCCATTTGGGCATTTTGTCTTACCATGAGTAACCCCCTCTCAATCAAACTTATTGATGATTGTCCAAAAGTAGAACGTCCAATAACACATTTTATTCAATCTTTAATCCGAGCATTTAATTCTTAAATATTTTGTTATTTTCACCTCAAATAAAGAGCTGTTAGTATGTTGCCTGGAAGTTAGTAAGGAATGGAAATAAACACAAAATCATATTATGAACCTGTATTTCTAAAATTGGAGCTCCTATGAGTAACTCCCTTATAATCACATTTAAACTTGATGAATTGGGAACAAAATACTGAACAAAATGTATAGTCAGACTGACTTAAATAGTTTTACTTTGTTTTCATCAAGACACCTGAACTGCTTTGATGAGCTCCGATAGCTCAATGTGAAAAACAGCTGATACCAGGCTCTTCTCTACATCCAGTCTATTCCTCTGATTGGTTTTGATGTGTGTCAAAGCTGAAGGTGAACTCAAACATATAAAAAAAAAAGCGTACTTTTTGGTTAAAGCTTGTTTAATTTTTTCATTTGGGTCCTCACAACGCAGAAAAGATCACACCCTGGAAAAACGATCTAAAAATAAGTAAAAATGTCTTAGATTAAGTGTATTTACCCTTAATTTGAGTAGGTAAATTAGATAGTTTGCCAATGGAAGGAGTAGTTTTACTCTTAAAATAAGAAACTTAGATAATATGCACTTGAAATAAGACAATGCAATTGTGTTTTCTTATTTTAAGTGTAAATTGTCTTGTTCCATTGGCAAAATGTCTCGTTTACCTCCTTAATCCGAGAACAAATGCACTTAAATTAAGAAAAAAATGACTTATCTGGATTTAGATTTATTGCTACCTAAGAAAATATATTTTCATGTACCTCTTGCAATACACTCGCGGACCACTATGTATGCGTCCCCCCTGTTAGGAAACATTGATCTGGTTCATTTAGTCCAGTGGTTCTCAAACTTTTTCTGTCATTCCCCACTTTGGACAAGGGGGAATTTTCAAGCCCCGCCTGTCCCCATCGCCCCAACACAATGCTAATGAAATATTCAACAATCTTAAAATGTTCCAATTTTATTGAAGTAACAAGTAGTATCTAAATACAAACTATCTACATCAAATAACAGCAAGCTCAAAAATAAAGAAAATAAAAATGCAGCTGTGTCAAAATTTGTATCAAGCTCAAAGATAGAAAAAATTAAAGTGGCACTCTGCAATCTGTTAATAAAAGAAAAGAAGTGAAATCCATCTGGCAAGACAGTTTATCCCTGCATTAGTGGCTGCAATGAGCCTGTTTTGCATTGCAGTTTCTCAAAACGGGGTTGCAGGCTTGATACTGCCACTCTCAAGTCATGCTCAATGTTCAGCTGAGATCTGTATTTTGTTTTCATTGAAGCAACAGCTGAAAAGCCCATCTCACAGAGATATGATGTGGCAAAGGGAAGAAGAATGCACACAGCTCTCTGCCCGATGAGTGGATACTCGCTCTCCACTCCTAACCAGAAACATGAACATGTGGCTGTGTGAATCAAACTCCGTTATTTATTTAAAATAAAATATTTCAAATTCAGTTATTTATGATCAACCTGCGCCGTCAATCCCGGCGCATGTGCGCTTTATTTGCAGTCTGGACGCTAAAGTTAAACATGCTGTGTCTCTGCTCTGACTGCAGCGCTGATAGGGACTCCTGCAATAGCGGGGGAGAACGGGGTTGGGACGGAGGAGGCGCCCCACGGCAGCACCTGCCGCTGGAGGACAAGAAAAGGAACGATACGTGCTTTCACGTAAGAGTCTCCAAAAGGCGCTAGATTTGTTTTTTTGAAAAAGAGTCGCTGGAGGGGTCTGAAATATAGCGACAAAGTCGCTGAGTTGGCAACACTGGGGCGCGAAAGTTTATTCTGTTACAAATAATATGCCGACGTCACGTCAATCATTATTTTGGCACTTCAGTTCCAGGTGAAATTTTTCTCATATCTAATGTTCTTTTAATTAGACTGCATGTAGGCTAGTAATGATTACTTTGTGGGTTTGATTGGTCTAAAAAGCGGCAACATACAGCTATAAGGACAGTTTGCTCTCACACATTCTACATTTATAGTCACACACACACACACACACACACACACCGGAACTTGGCGCGCCCCACCTGTCACGTCTCAATTCCCCACCAGTGGGTCGCGCCACACACTTTGAGAACCGCGGATTTAGTCCGTCTTCCGTGCTTTGTTTGCATTTTTGCCTTTACCTCAACAGCAACAACAACAACAAAAAAACACTGAAAATAATAGTTACTTCCTCATTGCAAGAAACAAGGCCATTGTCACATTATTATTATCCAATTCCTTTTTCACACAATATAAACAAAAAAAAATGATAAACTAGACTGACAGTTCTGCCCTTAATTTGCAAAAAACTCAAACTCAGTCATTGAATGGGAATCAAATGAATTTTTAAATCTGGACTCTGGGCCGTTCTACCAAATGTTCTTTGCCTAAATATACAGTAGAAATGGTTTATAGCAAAGTGCTGCAAAGGCTTATTGTATTTTGAAAGTTTATTATTATTCTACTGCCTCTAAGAATGGATTTTAGAAGGCTGTAACATGTATGAAAAAAATCACAAATCTTTGCCAAAAGTTGTCCCTGCCCCCTGAGGAAAGAAATACACCTTTTTCACTTGGAAAGGTCCTCTTCTGACATTTTTAACCTCATGAACTTGAAACTAGGTCAGAAGGTATAAAACATATTGGTCTTACTTTGTTTAAAGCAAAGAGAGTTTTAGTTAAATGGTGTTGCCATTGCCACATGGAAAGGTGAAGCGTTTTGCCATGACTATACCTTTGGATCTCATTTCCACATAGATTGTTGAATCTGCAGCAAAACAGCTATGATGGAATCTGACTAAAGCCCACACAGGAACCTGCCCAATATTTGTTGGCTATGGCTTAATTTCTTTACAGCGCCCCCTAGAAACACTAAAACAACTAGTCCCAAGCCAGGTCTTTACTAAGGATTATGAAACTTGGTACACATGTGTAACCAGCCAGGACCTACAAAAAAAAAAAAAAATGTCTTGGAGCCATGGTCCACACCTCACAGGAAGTCAGCCATTTTCAATTGAAGTTCAAATTTTCAGCGATTTTGCACTTTTTAGTCTACATTTGAATTAACCCCTCCTAGAGCTTTTGAGTTACAGACTTCAAATTCACTGCATATTGACCAAAGTCATTGGGGATCAAAAGTTATTAAAGCATGTGGGCGTGGCCAAGCATCAATTATCTTTTGCCATGAAACAAAAGGTAAGCCCCAGACCATGTTTTAACTGAGAATTTGGTACACAAGTGTAAACCAACAGGATGCAAAGTCTCACAGGAAGTCGGCCATTATGGATCAAAGGTGCTTTTTTGTGTTATCGACTCATTTCGTATCTCAGCAAAGTGCTCATAGAGCTTTTGAGTTACATAACTTAAATCCAGTTTGCATTGACTTTAGGCATAGGCAACTATCAAACTAATTTTTCTACATCAAAGCATGCTGAGGTGGCAAAGCATCAAAATCTGACCTTCAGCCATACAACATCATGGTTTTATAACCTCAATAAGCAAAGTCAGAAGAGTACGCTTTTTGGAACAGCGTACACCTCAAACAGATTTTGGAGATATCAGTTTAGCCCCGCCCACTGAGATCAAGAACTTTCACTGTAGGAACCCCTGGCTTTTCTCTGCAAGCCCTATGGAATAGGAAATCACTGGAACTTATTTATTTTTATTATGCTTTATTTACAACATACAATTTACAAAATCTCTAATTGGGAGACATGATTGCAGAAAATATAGAAGTTAAAATACCTATAATAAAAAAAATAAATAAAATACTTAAGCAGAGGCAGTTCAATAGCTGGAACTGCTTTCAGGAATGTCGTATTTAGGTCACAGTGGCATAGACGTGGGGACGCCGTTGAGCAGGTTTCGCAGTTGCAATATGCCGAGCGGCGCTAGTTAAAAGTTGTTTGAGTAAATTATGTTCTAATAAAATGTCCTTCCATTTGCACCCTGTAATTAGCGCTTTTAAATTTTCAACAAACAATCCTCTCTAATCAGAGCACGCCCTCTTCCACGGGTTCGCAGTTTCCTACACAGCTTATGGCAAACTTATGATTTTTTCCCCCCTCAGAAAAATTCCAGATATATAGAGGATCATAAACACATTGTCACCCAAGAGGTGAACCTGCCGCTTCTCAGCTCTGTTCATTATTTGGGGTCTTCTGAAATTTAGCTGTTGGGATATCAGAGTGAAGGGGTGGAGTAAAAATGTGTAGGTCTCGTCTCGTTAATTTTCATTTGAAAAACAAAACTCTCTTTATCTCAATAAAATCAAAACTACATTTAAGTTTGAGGCTCTAATGTGATAAAATGTTTCCAATTTTAAGGACTATAAATACTTTTGCAAGGGACTAGAGCATTCAAACTGACTATGGTTTTAGTCAACATCTTGTGCATCTAATGGAGCCCCGGATTAACCTTCAGATGCTTTCAAATGACAGTTTATTCTCCATCCTGATGTTTTCCATATCAAAATGGCACAGTCTGACATTTAAACCTTTTCTGATCATTTTTTCTGCCTCTGGGGTTCAGAGTTTTGCATTTAAGTCATTTGTAAATGTTTTATCTGAACACAGTCGATCAAAAACGCTTGAACACACCTGCAGTTTAGCTTTTTCCAAATTTGTAGTTTTCAAAAGGGCAAAAGTAAAAAAAAAAAAAAAAGGTTTCTTTTTTTTCTCATCAATAACTGAGCCAAAAGGTAAAAGCCTAGATCCCGTGGGTTTATTTTTAACTATGCAACCACGTCACACATGAGCAAATCTCAAACGCTACCTCCGCCTGTAGAAGAGAAAACAAAAACTCTGTCTGTAGAACTTGTGTGAAAGCCCTGCAGCTCTGCAGCATTGATAACCTCGAAGACTGTGAGATTTCTTTATCTACTTTCAGATAGGGCCTTTAAAACTGGACATTCTGGCCCTTAGGAAAGATTTTAGACAGTAGAAGTCTGATTGTGAATGACCAGCAGACCTTTCTGCAAGCAGCATGCAGGAAGTGCCTTACCTTGTCCAGCAGAGTGTTCTGCCACATGCGGAAAACGCTCTGATAGCTTTTCTCTCTTGCAGAGAAAGATGCAAAGAAATACTGTGAATGAATGAACAGGCGATCAGCAGCATATTTGGGATAATGCATGTATTGTTTTTGAAAACGAGTCTGGAAAAAAAGGAGCTTTTAAAACCCAATACCTTCTCGGTGTTTGTGCAAATCTGGATGGCGTTGGGTATCAGTCGAGCCATTTTCTCTCTGGACATTGATGTGATATCTTTGAGAGGCAGTATAATCTGTAAATACATTTCAAATGGAGAGATATTACGATATGTTAGGAGTAACTTCACCTATTTTAGGATTATGATATTATGCATAAGGCCAGTAAAGAATTATATAAATACAAAAAAAAACTCCACCCTCTATGAATGACTAAAACAGTGAGATTCGTATAAACATCACCTAAGATACATTTATTTAGTTTCAAACCCAAAGAAATTAAAAATGGTCCACCTTCTAACCTTTTTGTAACCCTTGTTTTTGTCTCCAACTAAAGCAAAACCATATTTCTTTATTTTTTAAAAGATGCACTGTACAGAAAAAAAAAGGTATTCTGCAATAATATGATTTTATTTGCATATTTAACCTTTTTATTTGCATCAGAACAAACCACCCCTCTGCCACACTGCAATAATCATACACTGTGATCTAAAAAAGTAAAAGGTGCTCAATTAAAGACGCTAGTTTCATGTTATTTATTTATTTTGTTTACATTTGAGGGTTTTTCAGCGGGTGAATATTTTCTCCTAAATCTGATTTAAACTGTGGTACCATAACTCTCTGTTCCCTGAGGAATTTCATAATTTGTCAAAAACAGTAGATGATTGCAAAACTTACCCTGAAGATGCGTTCCTCAGGAATTTAATGTTTTACAATACCAGCTCATTTCCTGAACATTGAGTTTAGTCATCAGAAAACTAATGTTCCCTCCTCTATGTTGCCAAAAAGCAGAATGCTTGGTTTTTAAATAAAATAGTTTTGACATGTATGTAATTTAGTTTAATGCTGAACTGAAGTGTTTTCCAGAGTTTTATTTATTGTCATTACACTGTCACAAGTATGGAGCAACAAAATGAATTCTGTGCATTTAACCCATCCTCTTTGGGGTGCAGTGGGCTGCCATTGTGCAGCGCCTGGGGAGCAGTGGGGGGGTTAAGGGAGTGGAGCTTGAACTCAGAACATCAAGATTCCAAGTGCAACACCCTAACCCAAAGGTCTTCAACAGGGGGTCCACAGAGGTACTGCATGAGAATCACATAAGTTTTGGTTGCAGTCTTTTCCACTAATTGAAATGGCTTTAAATACATATTAACATGAATTCAACACACTGAAGTAAACAGATAAATGGAGGCAGAAGATGTCTTTCAGTCATCAATGCACATATTCATCGACACACTGGAGCTCTTTCAAGCTGGACACCGTTTCATTCACAACACCTGCCCCATCAACCAGGAATCAGAAATATTTTAATAATCTCAGGGTGAAATTACTTTCGTGACATGACACTAACTGGAATAGAGTGACTATATGATCAGTTTGATATAACACAATTTCATACAATATGTATAATTATGAGTTCCCCGCTCCATTTCTTCATCAGTTTGGGGGTCCTTGGCCTGGAAAACGTCAAAGACCCCTGCCCTGACTACTAGGCTGAAACTCCCCCAAAGCAGGCATTAGCATGAAGAGTCTTGCCCACCCAGCCCATGGGATACGAACCCAGGCTTCCTGTTTGCAGGATAGGTGACTTACCACTTGAGCTAGCCAGCCCCCCAAAAGCCAACATCATATAAAAAAAATACGAAACATCCATCCATTTTTCGTTACGCTTATCCCTGCTGGGGTCGCAAGGGGTGCTGGTCTCCAGCTGTCTACTGGCGAGAGGCGGGGGACCATAGACAGGTCGCCATTCCAGGGCACGGCAACAGAGAGACAAACGATCATGATTCTCGAGAGAACCCACGCATACACAGGGAGAACATTCAAACTCCATGCAGAAAGACCCCGCTACCCACTGCGCTAAACAATTGTATTAATTTGATATTAATTACATTAAAAAAACCTGAAATAGAAGTAAAAAAAAAAAAAAAAGAGGCCAAATTAACTTCACCTAGGAACGATAACGCCATATTTTTCAGGTTAATCCAGGGTCCATAAATCCGTGAAAAGACATTTGGAGGAGGCACAGTGTTATAAGTGATGGTAATTAATGTCTAAAATCGAGCACAGTATGTAAGTCATGGTTGAAGACGAGTTATATTTAATCTTCTAAAGTAAGCTGAGGTCACTGCTCTAAATAAATGTGCTGATAAGCAAAACCACATCAATCTGTACAGATTATCTCAGTGGAGGTTATTCTCTGCTGGAAGATATTATCAAATAAACACAAATGAATAAACAAATGTCTTCACTTAATGTATTTGTATGATACAAATTAGGTCTCAGAGTAACTTTACCAAGCCTGTTCGAAAAGCAACAGCTGTTAACATGTTAAAGCAGTGGCGGATCTATACCATAATTACTAAGGGGGGTCAGCTTGTTCTTGTGAAAATCATGAAAATGCAAATAAAAATTTGTATTTTTGGTTTGAAAAATTGTCATTTTTATTTACAGAAAATGTAACAAAATATGAAATGATAAGTTTCTATATAAATCCACTACTAAATCTACTATAATATCTACTAAAAGGTAAAATAAATATGAAACATCAGGTCAAAGTATATTCATAATTCATGAATATTGCATTTTTTGGCCTATTTTAAATAAAAAATTATCAGTTTTAATCAAATTATAATTGGAAAACAAGTTCTAACTGAAATGAGTTTTGGTTTCAATACAACTGATCATCTGAATTTTTAAACCATAATTAAAACAAATTTTCAAAGGAAAAAAAAAGGAAATGGGTCCAAGCAACCTGACCATCTGTATGTCTGTTTTAGTACATATTATCATTATAATTTCTTTTATTGTTACGTCTTCAGTACAGGGGCCATAAAACGGGCCAGGACCAGTTCTTTAAGGGCACTGCCCCCTCTTTGCTCCTCTCTAGAACTGCCTTTGCTCTAAACAATTGCATTTTATTCAGAATATTTATATTTTTTGGACAGAGTAAAATTAAATTAAAAATTTAACAAACAGTTCCGTTTTCTTTGAGCTTCCTCATCCCTTCCTTTACACTTTCATTACCTTGGTACCACGAAACACATTGCTGTAGAAAGAGATCCAGTTCTCAGAGAGGTACATGCGTCCTTGGAGGAGAATGTCCCGCTGGAGGGCGCAGGGATAGTCTGAGGAGAAAAGCAAACACAGATAACCCAAATGAGAACACCTACAGTTTACTCTCAGAGGGTGGATTTTAAGCCACATAGGAAAAATGCGGCTTTAATGTTTTAACATGAAGCCAAGAGTATTTATCTCCCGCTAACAACATCATCTTGAAAGTGTTGTTTTATTTAGCCAATATATTAATTTTTACAATCCCATTTTTACCTAATATGAGCATTTCAGTTTCCGGCAGCTCCTTGAACATCCTCTTAAACTCATCCAACCTTTGTTTGTAACTCGGAATTGGAGATTGAGGCACAGCAAGACATTGAGGCAAAGCTTCCAAGCTCTGCTGAAGGAGATCAGAAGATTAAGGGTTGACAGACATTTAAAACCAATTTTTACTGAATATTTCTTTTTGCCCTTTCAATGGATAATGCACGAAAGAAAGTTGCAGTACTCCATCTACACCGCTAGAGGGCAATGGAAGCTATTTGGTTTAATCTTAGATTTTTAGTTGATTCTAAACAAGTCTTCTCATCTGGAGTAAATCTGAGGAAAATTTAAGTCTTAATATTCTGATAGGTTTTCAGGTTCTTTAGTCGGGAGGGATTTAATGTGTGCTTACATCGTCCTCCAAGCTCAGCCTCTCCTCCAGCAGAGATCCACTTTCATCTGTAACCTCATCACTACCCACTGCTGACTGATTGGATAGCTGCTCCATGGGCTCCTCCTGACTGCTTAGAGAAAAAATATCTGGTTACGACAGTGAAGGACAACATAGAAGAGTAGAAGGATGTCAAGGTTTTTGAAAATAAACAAAACATTAGGATTTCTCAACATTTCACATACACATTGCAACAAAAGAAAAAAAACAATCTACCAAATTTCACTGGATTTTCCCACTCAGTAGCTAACAGTAGTTGTTTGGACTTGCAAAAATAACAATGTCTATGAAACATGTGGCCTACATAAATTGACATTTTAGGCAAGAGTAAAAATTAGTGTTGCACTACCGATACCAGTAGACCCGGGGCCCTGATCCAGCACTAAAATGGTGGCATCGGTATCAGCAAGTACCAACAAATAGGGCACTGATACCATTCTGAGAGCCAAGTAGTATGCAGTTCTTCATATATATATATATATATATATATATATATATACACACACACACACACACACATCGTATCAGTATCGCCCAATACTGCACAGCCAGGTATAGGGAATCGGCATCTGGGCCAAAGAAATGGCATCGGCGCAACACTAATAAGAATAGAAAAGAGTATAAGATTGAACTAAAATTAGATTTTTTTGAACAGATCATTTCAAATAAAATTATTAGAAGTAAATTAAATAGTTGCCACAGTACTGATTATGTCAGAGCCAAATCTGAACAACTCAATATATGGCACAAACTGAGATTTTCCACCTCAGTTTGGTCTCTCTAGACATAGACTCAATTTTATTTATCCCTTGGGATTACTTCTTCAGGGAAATTCTGGTTCCAGTAGCTTATATAGAGTACAATACGCAGAATTAAGGCAAGATGCTATTAAAGATAAAAATATAAAAAGGTTGTTATGTCCTGGAATATGTTTCCCTTAGATATAAATATATCTGCGTGGTAGTGAGCTATGGAAAGACTACACAATAGTTGGTTTGGATTATTGCACTTCCACTGCAGAAATGTACTGACCATATAAATAATTAAAAACTATGCAGACTACACAGTAGTTGGCATTATTGCACAGTGAAGGAGAAGAATATTGCACATGAATGACAATAGGTAATTTTTTGCACAAGATCCACATTTATTTCAAATAACTGACTATTGAATAGCCCAGAAATAAACTATTGTTAAAATAGACAAGAATCTGAGTCACTGAAGCTTTTCTCTCCTTCAGATGGTTTCTAGGCATCTTAAAGGTATTCCTCTTTTTCAGTCTCTCATTCTGTGAGGACCGACAGCTCTATACTCCTACAAAGGGATAATTTAACTAAAAACTCAATGGGATGCCCCATATGTTAAACTGTTACCAACGGTTCAACTGTTAGAGCGGTTGCAATTTTAAGAAATCCTTTAATTCCTATATTTTTCATTAAATGGAGTGTTTGTTAGAGCACTCAACGTAGCAAGAATCCAAACGGGGGTGAATACTTTTTAATTGGCTTTGCATAACTTTATTAAGAGCGACCAGAGGTCTGAAAACCAAGGTTATCAGTTAAATTTTTCATATTCCAAAAGAAGGTGCTCCTATTAAGTATTCAACTTAATAGGAGCAAATATTACCATAAAATATTAATAAATTAGAAAATGTACAATAATTTTTCCTCCTGTAATATTGTCCATACGCAAATACAATTTTGATCCTTAAGAGGACATACTTTAACACCTTCTGACCAATTACATTTTCATCACAGATACACAATGCAAACATCTGTGGCCCCAGTACAGAAACCTGTGGGACCCCATGTGTGATTTATTGTCCATAAAGTGTAGATTTCCTGAATCTTATATATTTTCCTCTATTTTTAAAAGTTGTATTCTGTGTCCACCATCTCCAAACTGTACCTTTTGTAATTAATGCAATGTTGATCTAATTCTGTCTGACCTTATCCATTAATTTAGACAAGAAGGGCCACAGTCACCATGGCTCTTCAACATGTGCAGGGCCCTGCTTTTATCACCCTATGATATCCTCTACACTGCAAAAATGACCTAGAAATAAGTGACAATGTCTTAAATCAAGTGAATTTACTCTTAATTTAAAGCAGGAAAATAAGATTGTTTGCCAATGGAATGAGTATTTTTACTCTTAGAATAAGTTAATTAGATAATATGCACTTGAAATAAGACAATGCAGTTATTTGTTCTTATTTTAAGTGTAAATTGTCTCGTTTCATTGGCAAAATGTCTTACTTGCCCCTCGATTCAAGAAAAAATGCACTTATTTTAAGAAAAAACGACTTAATTAGATTTACATTTTTTGCTGTGTATAGTGTTCTACACTGCGTTTCGGCTGTAGGGGAGGCTGTTCAGAGCAAGCAGGACAGGGAGAGACTGGACCAGCTGGTCAGGACAGCGTGTGCAGAGGCTAAACAGATATCCATCATGAACCATGCCTCTTACCCCCATTCTAAGCAGCTCCTTCAACAGCAGGATGCAGCTGCAACAATGCAGGAAGAAACGTTTCGAAGGTTATTCCTCCAGTCAGCAATAAGACTCTACTAGGGCTGCAACTAATGATTATTTTGCAAATCGATTAACCTGTCAATTATTTTTTCAATAAATCGATTATTAATCGGATAGCCAAAGTAGACTTTTTATAAAATTAAACCATTTTACATGCAAAATGTTGGGTTTTTTTTAAAAAACAATCTCGGTATAATCACTGCTCTAAGTGGGTTGCTCTGTCAGCTAAAGGCAAGTTTTAAAGTCTCTATACTCCAGTTATTGATTAATGGATTACTGAATCAGTTGATGATTAATTCAATAATAATACATACATTTGACCTCACTTATCTATCTTCTGATATATATTGCTTCAACTTATTTTAAAGAACAGTTTTTGTATGTTTTTATCAGAATTATTTTCCTCGATGTGCACCTTTTACATCTTTTGCTGCTGTGATAAATAAATTCCTCCACTTGGTGCCTGAATAAATTCTCATTTTATATTAAAGTTTGCAGCGGCAGTAGGACATTTTAAGCAAACTGTAACACTCACACATTTAAATCTAGATTTTCAGAATTAGACATTTATAATTTACTTTTTTTTTACATGCTCCAGATATACAAACATTTATATATAACTATAAATCCAAATAAAGTGATAGTGGCATTGTGCGAAAACAGTGCAAGGAATGAATAAATGTCAATTACAGAGGGGGGCGTTGTAGAGATTGAATAGTTCAGAAGTAAATGGTACAATTATTTTTACTCCTGTAATATGGTCCATAAGCAAATGCAACTTTGATCCTCCTTTTAGGAGTTAGCAAACACAGGATTCTGTAAAATGTTAGAGATCTTAAGGGAACATGGTGCACTGATTAGGTAACAAGACCTTTGAGGTTTTCAGCTGTTTGGGCCCAGTAGGGACCTTTAGTCAGCTCCTTCGTGGAACAATTAACAGAACATTAAAGACAGGATTCCAAAAACAAGTAACCTACGTCTTTTTAATTCAGGACAACTCTGGTAAAAGCCGAGCCACAGCGAGCAGGCCATCACTTCCTGGGAAACAGCAATATAAGGCTCCCCAGTGGTAACCCCCTTGGCAACCTGTCTCATTTTACCCCCCAAATCCCACTACAGTCCACTTAATGATTTCAACCTAATGGCCTTTTGGGGCTAAATTAAAATATATTATTCAGAGAAAGAAGAACAAGCAAAAAAAAAAAACAACTTTTAACCACATGTACATAGAGGACATATACAAATTATTCTGCCAAAATGGGATAATTTTATCTTTTTGTGTTTGTACATACCCCTTATAAGGCCGTCCTGTACAACTGCCCATTTCAAAACCACCTGCATATGATGGTTGGTCAATCCTTACACACATTTCAAGTCTTTATGTATATTCATTTTAGATAATATAGGTGAAAAAGTTCAATTACAGAATAAAGTTTCTATTTAACTAAAGACTTTCTAACTAAAACTGAGACATTGGCTCAATCATAAACCTGTGATCTTAAGGGAATTAGTTTGTTGCAATATTTTAAGTATCACAGTTTTACTGATCAGTAAAAAAAAAGTTGGGGAAAAAAGAGGAAAATTTTGAAAAGGCGCCATTCAACAGAGCTTTTCAAAACAATTGAGTTTCAGTGAAAGAAAAACAGGTTTGTCTGGAGCGCTAAATTTAGGATGAGTTTAATCCTGCTTCCTTCTGCCGTGATCCGCACACAAAGTTAAAATCAGCAGATCTGAATCAAAAATAATGTTGTTGTTTTTTCCTGATAAGAGCCATCAGCTGATCAGATAAAATCCCCGCGGTGTTCCGTCACGCGTGGGCTCTCCAAGGCAGAGGCGCGCCCATCGGTCACTTACCTCACACGGTGAGGACCCAGGGTTCCTGTTCGGTCAAACTGGACTTAAAAAAGAAAAAAAAAAGGTGGGTTTGTTTGGTTGTGGAGCCCCCTGAGGTGAATAGCTTCCTCCTTCCTGTCTCTGCTGCTCCTGCAGGTGCGTCTCATCCAGCCACAGACGCATCTAATGGGAATTTACGCCCATTTATTTGCTATTAACCAATCCTCTTCCAGAACAACCTGATTCATAGGAACCAGTTCCTATAGTTTGCTATATTATAAAGAAAATCAGAGTTGATTTATTTATGTTTTTTTATCAATTAAACATCACACTTAATTTTATACAATCTTTTTTTTTTATATATGAATTGAAATAAAATCACACAAAGTTCCTTTAAGAAAGTATTTCTAGAACTGGCTGCTACCAAACAGGTTGGTGTTCCTGTGTTAAGATGCAGAAATACCAGTTTAACTGCATGATTACCAGAGGTGTCGAGTAACGACGTACAACTACTTTGTTACTGTACTTAAGTACACTTTTTAGGTATCTATACTTTACTCCATTACTTATTTTTCTTCCTACTTCTGACTTCTACTCATTACATTTTCACACAAGTATCTGTACTTTCTATTCCTTACATTTTTAAAACAAACATTACAAGTTACTCTTGGCTTCGGTTTTATGTTTATAAATATTTATTTCACGTCATGTGTGCCATCCAATGCAGATCATTGGCGCCATCCACATCTAGTGAAAACTAGGGTAATTGGATGAGTCATAACGCAAACACTCATTGGTTAGCTAAAGGAAATCATCAGAAGCAAGCAGGTGCTCTTCAAACTGCAAACGTTAATTATCTATACCATGCTGCAATTTAGGGTTAAGAAAAGATGTTGAAATGTCAGAAAGGTCGGACACAGGCGAGAGCGTATCAGGAGACTGAGACCTCCCTCATCCTTGGCCCTATGAAATAATTTTTCTAAATAGCCAAAAAATTAAGCTTTCTATTTATTTAGTGGCATCTGGCTGTTTTTTTAAAGGTTAATTTATACTTCATACATTAAGTAGTTTTTGAAACACATACTTCTTCCCTTTTACTTGAGTAAAGAGGTCAAGCTGATACTTCAACTTTTACCAGAGTGTTTTTAAACTGCAGTATCTATACTTCTACTTAAGTAACAAATGTGTGTACTTTTGACATCACTGCTGATTACACTCAGTGGGGTTTAACAAAGCACTCAACTTGGTTTTCTTTCAGCAATGATTTAATTCTTTGAGTAATATGATGAAACAGTTGGACTTCCACGCAGTAAAGTACACAGCACTACACAGCCTGAAACACAACCATAAAAACTTAAAAAAAAAAAAAAAAAAACAACAATAAAAAATAATGCTGGCAATAAATAGACTGATTTTCTTAAATTTATATTCAATACTCTTCTGTACAGATGGTCTTAATTTCAATACAATAACAGAGCAATATTCAGGAGAAGCAACACGGCAACACAGAGAGGCTGTAAACGTAAAAATGTACACACACGCACACAGAGTCAGCGACCATGCAGAGGATCCAGAGTATGCCTATATGAGGCGACGAATAATGAATACAGTACATCTTTCTCTTTTTACCTCCACAAGTAATTTCACACACACTCACACACTTGCACGTTCACCCACAGAGGATCACGGGGGGGGGAAAGCACATGATGTCTGGGAAAACACGGAGGTGGAATGTGTTCAGAGGTGGAGGAGTCGAGAGTTGGAGGGATCGAACAGGAGAGGTGTGAGCCTATTCTTCCAACGTGCGGAAGCCGTTCTGCATGTCCTCCAGCAGCTGAGCGTATTCTGCCTTAATCTTGGCCTCACCGTCCTTAACTGGGTCCTGTAAACACACAGACACTTCATTAAACGCTGCTACTTTGAAATTAAATAAATTAAAAATCAAACATTTTCAATCAAGTTTATGCAAGAGTGATAATTTTCACCCAAATTCACCTTGAACTTCATAGAGCTAATCCTGTAGAGGATCTCTCCCATGTGCTCCCGGATCATGGCCCAGGTGATCTTGTTGTCGCTCTGGGCTGTGGTCTCCACCGCATGCCGGGCCATGTCATAGAAAGCTATAGTGTTGGACAGAATGCCCACCGTCTTGTAGAAGGGGCAAAACCTGAGGCCATCAGAAAAAGCTTCTTAAACTACATTCAGCTCAGGTTATTAAATCGAAAAGTTTTAAAATCACAGAAATACGAAAACAGTGGCAGGTTCCCAAGCTGTGATGCTACCTGTCATATGGAGTGTAACCGTTCTGCTGCAGGAAGTCATCTTTAAGCAGTTTGGCCACTTCCAGCGTGATTTTATCGGTTTCTGCCAATGAGGCCTATCAAAGGGAAGTTACATTTTTATTCATGCTGATTTATATCAGTCTCAAAACAAGTGAAAAACAAAATATATTTTGGTACCTTTCCAACAAGCTGTACGATCTCAGCAAGGTCTTCTTCCTCCTGCAGGATTTCCTTTGCTTTGGTACGCAGCGGCACAAACTCTGGGAAGTGCTTGTCGTAGTATTCGTCCAGAGCGCGAGTGTATTTGCTGTAGCTGATCAGCCAGTTGACAGACGGGAAGTGCTTCCTCTGAGCAAGCTTCTTATCCAGACCCCAGAACACCTGAGGAGGGGATGTGTTAATCACTTGAAGCCTTTGCATCTGACAGAAGGGCTTATTTCATAGGTCCACAACTGGATGACAGTATATTTGCTTACCTGCACAATACCAAGAGTGGCTGAAGTAACAGGATCGGAGAAGTCACCACCAGGAGGCGATACACTGAGAACACAGCAGAAGGCTAATTCAACAACCATGTTCAACAAGTCACCATCTACATAAAAAAATGTCCCCTAATCTCCTACACATTTTATATCTTAAAGAACAATTCTCAACTTCCCAGAGCTCATTAATGTTTACTGCAAAATATAAAGAAAAAAAAAATCATACTGATTTTGTAGGAAGTGAACACAGATGGTGAAGACAGCAAAACAGAAACTGTGAGAAAGGAATTAAAGAAGGAAAACAAGACAGAAAGAAAATAGAAAAAAACAAAAAAATACTAAAGGACAGAAAGAAAGGGAACGCAAGGAAGGAGAGAATTGATGCAGGATACAAGAACAGAAGGAAAGCAGGACAGTGCATAGGAATATGTGTATTTCCCACAATACGTATAGGCACAGCCCACCTCACAGGGTTCAACACAAATACATTTCCGTGCCACGTGCTAATGTAAACCTTCTTTTAGTTTTATAATGGAGAGCTTCAGTCATTAGCTGAATTTCTACAACTTTGTTTTTTGTATTTCTTTTACAGAACGCTGTTTTCCCAATTTGACCAGCGTCATTTAAATGCTCATCCATCATCTAATGATGTGTGCATGGTTGATGCCTGTTCGGATTAAGCACAGCCGTCCCAGCCTCCTTTTCCTATCCTGGACAATTTAAAAGGTATTTGGATCGAGACAGTAAAAAAAAAAAAAAAAAAAAAAAAGAAGAAAGGAACCAGCAAGATGGAGAAACACAAGTAAAGAAGCAAAGACAAAAATTGTGACAGAGGTAAGATTATAAGGTGGATCATAAGGAATGAAACAAGGTGTCAGAGAAGATAAAGAAGGACGAGGGAAGGCGGGATCCAACGTTTAGATAATTGGATGGGGAAATGGAAATATATATTCATACTCTTATTTTTTCATCCTCCCTAAACAGACAGATTAAAATCCCACCAGTGTGCAGGAAATCTGTGTCTCCCTCTAGTGACACAAAGGTGTACTCACGCTCCAACAATGCTGACACTGCCTTCCCTCTCAGGGTTGCCCAGACACTTCACTCTCCCTGCACGCTCGTAGAAGGAGGCGAGTCGGGCGCCCAGGTAGGCCGGGTATCCACTGTCTGAGGATGGGAAAAGTCAGTTATCATCTTCCTTTCCTTTTCTTATTTAGATCCAAATAAAGATCTATAAAAAGGAGCATTGTCTGCATCACAGCTCAGTTGGTTTAATTGTTCATTAATCGAAAGCAAGAGGCGTCAGAATTAAAATTGTGTAACAATATGAGACCAAAAACTGAAACAGCTGAAGTTCTTCCCCTTGTGATGCTTTTATACAGCAGGTTCTACAGGGATGCATTCTTGGGCTTTAGTTTAGATCTTCCCTGAGAGGAAGTGAGACTTACTGTTTCATAAATTCAGAGAAATAGTGAAAGATGATATTCATGCAATCAGAAATGGTAGCTGGTGCTTCTCGTTTAAAAAACTAGAACACATTTTAATAGAAACATAGCTCTCAAACACAAGGGAAGAGAAGATGTCAGTCAAATATAAGTTAATCATTTGCAGAGTCTGTTGTATTTTCAGCCTGCTTCTGTGCACGCTGCCCTGACTTTAGACTTTAGAAGGATTGTGAGGCATGTTGTGCCTCATTATATAAACAGAGCAAGATCTTTTCTTTACTATAAAACTTACCAGCAGGCATTTCTGCTAAACGCCCTGAAATCTCCCTGAGAGCTTCGGCCCAACGTGAGGTGGAGTCGGCCATCATGCTCACGTTGTATCCCATGTCTCTGAAGTACTCAGACAATGTGATCCCTGCAGAAACAAATGTATTCTGAGCTCAAAAGAACTATAAACATAAAAGTCAATGATTAGGGTTCTTGGTATTTAAAGTGTCAAGCAAAAGTATTACAACTACCTGAAATTTGTCATGTTACAACCATCGAATTTCCCATATTTATGGAGACTCACAGAACTTAGAATGAAATTTTCAAAAGGGAAAAAGCTATAAATTATAATTTTTTTAAACATTTGACAAATAAGAAAAATATCTCCACTCTTCCTCTATAGCAGGGGTAACCAATTAAAAATCAGTGGGGTCCAAATAAAGGAAATCATCAACCAGTAAAGGTCTGAACCTCTTTTTTAATTATAGTCTGTTATTTATACAGAATTTAACACTGAAATAAAATGAGATTTTTATGCATCCATGTTATACATTGGCTTTTTAAATGAAAAAAAAAGAAATTTTTTTAATATTTAATTTTAAATTAAGCGTTCATTTCCGCATGTTTGCTTCTGAATTTAGAAATAATGTTGCCCATGCGCTCCTTGTACTTAGAGGAAGTAGGAGCGGAGCAAGACGGGAGGGACAGCGGAGGCTATAGGCTTTGCGCAGGAGGTCTGCAACGGAGCGGGGCAGAGCGGAGACGGAGAATGTGGGATTATGGGGTTAGACACTGTCGTCAGACAACATGCAGTAATCTATAAATGTTTTAAATCAGGATGGGTCCGGATTAGCCAGCAGGTGGGTCCAGATCCGGACCGCGGTCCGCTAATCTGTGACCTCTGATCTATAGTTACTTTATCTGTGACTAGCTTCTCTATCCTCACTAAGTTACAGCATTCCCACAGTATGATGCTGCACCACCACACACACAAACTTTGAAATCAATGTATGATGGCTTTCTTTCAAAAAATAATTGCAATTCTTGCATCAAATAATCATGGGTGGTTACCTAAATCAGTTTGCAGAGGTGGACAGCCATGTCTCGGTTAGTCCACATTTATATCACTCTCAGATGATGAACATAGATCCGCTCTTTGAGGTGTTTAAAGCCCCTAACTCGTCTGCTGTGTTCTTTGATCTAGTAAATAGGCTGAATATAAATGCAGGCCAGACTTTAGATTTTTAATTAGAAATAAATCAAAGGTTTAGGTATTTCCATCCCCTCTGCAATCTGCTTCATGTAAGTCTATAACATTAAATACACTGAGGTTTATGGTTGGAGTGCGACCAGCGAGCTCAAAGGGACATCAATACTCTCACGAGTGAGTGGTATTTCTGGCTTCACCTGTGTAAATAGAGGCCTCTCTGGCAGCTACAGGCATGTTGGAGGTGTTTGCCACCAGTGCTGTTCTCTTCATGATGCTCTCCGTCTTTCCATCCACCTCCATCGTTAGCTGGTGATAGGTCAGCGCCGTCAGTTACATCCAGCTTGACTTTTACTTGCTTTAAAACCTGACACACGATAAAACCCCTGAGCTCACCTCTGGGAAGTCTCGCAGTACTTCTGACATCTCGTTACCACGCTCCCCGCAGCCTACGTAGATGATGACATCGCTGTTAGAATACTTGGACAGTGACTGCGAGATGACGGTCTTTCCACAGCCGAAGGCTCCTGGGATGGCTGTGGTTCCTCCTTGCACACATCTTAACACAAAAAAAAATGGAAAAGGGTTAAGAGAATCTTTTCCAAACATCTGAAAAGGAAAGCTCTGAGAGAGGATGTGAAGCTTACGGGAAAAGGGCGTCCAGTACCCTCTGTCCGGTCAGCAGTGGGTGATTTGCAGGCAGCTTCTCTGTGACAGGTCTTACCTGTCTGACAGGCCACACCTGCACCATGGTAAACTTCTCCTTCACGCCCTCGAACTCCAGCTCCATCACCACATCCTAAGACAGCGAGACAGTAGTTTGAAACAAAGCAAAGCTCCACGGATGCTTGGTGAAAACTCCCTTAGGACTGGATGCGCCCAACTTACAGAGATGTCATAGCTTCCAGGTGGAGCCACATAGGTCACTGTACCTCTGTTCTTCGGGGGGAGCATTATTTTGTGCTTAATGAGGGAGTTCTCATAGACCATTCCATAGATGTCTCCTCCTGTGATATGACTGCCGACCTAATTATAACAAAATGGCAGATCAATACAGCACAGATGCCTTAGCTGAAGAACATGCGGAAGAATCTTTACCCGCAGGCTCTTGCTTGGGGAAAACTCCCATTTCAGGTCTCGGTTGAGGGCACCTATGTTGACTCCTCTGGGGATATAGATGCTTTTTGTCATGTCATTGATGTCTTTTAAAGGTCGCTGGATACCATCAAAGATCGACCCCATGATCCCTGGACCCAACTCGACAGAGAGAGGCTTTCCTGTCCGCAGTACGGGGTCTCCCACTGACACACCGGCTGAATTCACACTCAGGAAAACCCACCGAGAATGACAAAGAGTGGTCGTCTCCAAAAAGAGCTAATCTATTTAAACCAAACTAAAATAGCTGTGACAGCAAAATTGGGTTTTACTTTTCTTGTCGTGCATCCCTAGACTAGATGGATGCCTGTAAAATATAAGGATACACGTCTCCTCATAGACCTGGATGGTGGCCATGTCTCCCTCCAGCCTGATGATCTCCCCCACCAGCTCGCAGTGACCAACACGGACAAGCTCATACATGGCTGCTCCTGCCATGGCCGTGGCTGTCACCACTGGGGAAAAATGTAAAAAAGAATTGCGATTAAATCATATCCTTATATGAAATATATATTAAATGACTTCCTTTCAGAAAAAAGGAGTCTAAACTGAATTTTAGAAGTATGACATGGCATTATTCAAGAACCAAGACAAAAAACACATAACATGTCAGAGGTTCGCTTGTTTCATGAATTTACTTTGATGCATTTTTTTTTAAATATGATTTCAAACAGTCAAAAAAAGAGCCGGTGAGGATGAGTAAGGAATGGAGCCTCAATGGTTTCCTTTGAGTAATTGTGCTAAATCAACTGTATATCTGACAAAGAGACAGATCTTGCACGGTTTGATTAAGATCTAATAGCTGCAACTAAACTAAGCAACTTTTTCAGGGTCAAAGAGCATTAATCTGAGAAGCAGCTCACAATAACTCTGGAGGAGCTGCAGAGGTTAAAAGTTTAGGTGTGAAAACTTTACTCAACAGTTGGTTACTCTCTTCAAAATGTGGCCTTAACAGAAGAATGATGGAAAGAAAATCATAAGGTTGAGTTAAGGTTTTCCCCAGGCCCTGTGGGAAACACTGTTAGCATTTTATGGGCTACATCTGGTAGGGGCTTCCAACAGTGAGACCAGGAACATGCAGTCAGAGCTACCAAGTAATAAGTCTCATCTGTTATATAGCAAGACTTTGATGTCCATGTATGGTTTCCATTCAATTTAACTGATCTGGACCAACAGACGCAAAAACAACCTAGAAATAAGTATAAAATTCTTAAATTAAGTGCATTTACCCTTAATTTGAGTAGTAGTAGGTATTAGTTTTTTGCACTTGAAATAAGACAATGCTATTGTTTTTTTTTTTTTTTTCTTATTTTAAGTGTAAATTTTCCTGTTCCATAGGTAAAGTGTTTCACTTACCTCCTCAAATTAAGAAAAAAAACGCACTTATTTTTCCTTAGATAGAAGACTTTAATTTCACTGTATGATCTGGTTGAATTGTCTCTGTATAAAGTGGCTCGAGATAACGTGTTTTGAATATAAATAAACTGAACTGAATAATGTTAAGAAAAAATGAATTATTTATATGAAAAATTTTTGTAGTATATGAAAACAAATAAGAAGTGTTTAATTTGAAATTTTATGCTGATAAAGTCAGGTGTGAATATGTAGGCTCGTGGTGGCCCACCTGGTCCAGAGACGCCATGAACATATCCAAACTGGCTCTCTCGCTCCTCATCCCTGATTCTGGGCAGCTTGGACAAGTCCATCTTCACTGGTTAGTATCCTGACCAGAAAAAGAAAGAAAAAAAAGAACACATTTGAGATGCAATGACTAATTTGTTTATTTCAATTAATTCAACAAAAGCTAAAACAGATACTGAATATTTCTCCTTTAATGTCACCATTCATCTGAATAAATCAGCTTTCAAAAGACCAAATACATATATATCCACTGAGAATAAAAATTTCCTAAACAAATATAGCAAAACATTTGTGGTTAAATCCTTTGCTGCACAAACTGTTCAGCTCAGGCAGCAGCAGCCCAAGCTGTCAGCGGTCGTGACAAACCCATCCCCCAATGCAGCCGACTCCACTGTTAACTTAAAAAAAAAGCAGCTTAAAAAGAACCCAATGTTTTAATTCGTTCTTCTTAAATAAGGTAAACATAATAAAGATAATGCAGCTTTAGGCACCCGCTATTTCTTGTTCTCCTTGTGTCCTTTTATGCCCTTCTTACTGATGTACACATCTCTCTTCCTGCTTACGCCTGGCTGCTCCTAACCATCTGGGAATGAGTGAAGCAGCGCCCCCAACAGACAAACAGGAGAACTGCAAGAATCAAAGCTAGGGAGACGCTGCTTCTCTGATATACACTATATTGCCAAAAGTATTTGCTCACCTGCCTTGACTCACATATGAGCTTAAGTGACATCCCGTTCCTAATCCATAGGGTTCAATATGACGTCGGTCCACCCTTTGCAGCTAGAACAGCTTCAACTCTTCTGGGAAGGCTGTCCACAAGGTTTAGGAGTGTGTTTATGGGAATTTTTGACCATTCTTCCAGAAGCGCATTTGTGAGGTCGCACACTGATGTTGGACGAGAAGGCCTGGCTCTCAGTCTCCGCTCTAATTCATCCCAAAGGTGTTCTATCGGGTTGAGGTCAGGACTCTGTGCAGGCCAGTCAAGTTCATCCACACCAGACTGTGTCATCCATGTCTTTATGGACCTTGCTTTGTGCACTGGTGCACAGTCATGTTGGAAGAGGAAGGGGCCAGCTCCAAACTGTTCCCACAAAGTTGGGAGCATGGAATTGTCCAAAATGTCTTGGTATGCTGAAGCATTCAGAGTTCCTTTCACTGGAACTAAGGGGCCAAGCCCAGCTCCTGAAAAACAACCTCACACCATAATCCCCCCTCCACCAAACTTTACACTTGGCACAATGCAGTCAGACAAGTACCGTTCTCCTGGCAACCGCCAAACCCAGACCCGTCCATCAGATTGCCAGATGGAGAAGCGCGATTCGTCACTCCAGAGAACGCGTCTCCACTGCTCTAGAGTCCAGTGGCGGCGTGCTTTACACCACCGCATCCGACGCTTTGCATTGCACTTGGTGATGTATGGCTTGGATGCAGCTGCTCGCCCATGGAAACCCATTCCATGAAGCTCTCTGCGCACTGTTCTTGAGCTACATGAAGTTTGGAGGTCTGTAGTGATTGACTCTGCAGAAAGTTGGCGACCTCTTCGCACTATGCGCTTCAGCATCCGCTGACCCCGCTCCGTCAGTTTACGTGGCCTACCACTTCGTGGCTGAGTTGCTGTCGTTCCCAAACACTTCCATTTTCTTATAATACAGCTGACAGTTGACTGTGGAATATTTAGGAGCGAGGAAATTTCACGACTGGATTTGTTGCACAGGTGGCATCCTATCACAGTTCCACGCTGGAATTCACTGAGCTCCTGAGAGCGACCCATTCTTTCACAAATGTTTGTAAAAACAGTCTGCATGCCTAGGTGCTTGAATTTATACACCTGTGGCCATGGAAGTGATTGGAACACCTGATTCCAATAATTTGGATGGGTGAGCAAATACTTTTGGCAATATAGTGTATTTCAGTCTAAATCAAACTGCCTCCAAAAAAATAAATATAGAGAAATATAGAGAGTCAAGGGAATTTTGTGTAAATGGAAGTGAATAAACCTGGATAAATCTATGGATACGTGTCAGAGTCAGTCAAGATGTTAAAAGATCTCTTAGTGTACAATTTGAAGAACTTCTGTCTTCTCAACTATCACTACAGCATCTGCTTCAATTAAAACGAAACGGCGTAAACATACCGTATTCTATCATTTGATCAGTTTTTTCTATTCTATCATCTGATCTGTTTTTTTTTCCTCAACCATAAAAAATTTCTAAAGCACAAAAAGAAGATACAAACATACATAAAAAACATCATTGCAATGGTGACAGCAATAATCCACACTAGGGTTGTCAAAAGTATCAATACTCAAAAAAGTATCGATACTGAAATGTTGTATCCGGATACAATACTCATTTTCAAAAGTATCGAGTACCAGTCGCACCTAATCAGTCATTCATCTAAAGTGCAGAATAGAGGAAAATGCACTTTCTGAACACTGTGTGATTAAATAATATTGTGTACTTTTCAGTTTCAGACTTTTTTTGTAACAGTTGCAGCTGCTGAGAATTACTTTTTGTTTCTTAACCGGTTTGGCTAGCGTCATTGTTATGTGTGCAAAGCATAGCCAAGTAAGGAAAACTTAATTTTAATTTTGTTAATTTTTTTTCAAGCTTGCTATATACTGTGCACAGCAAACAACCTCAAAATGTTGTTCTTATTGTTTATTGTATTTATTTATTTATTGTATTTTAATTATTAATCAAAATTTTTCTGTTGAAATTTTATCCTTGTGGTATCGAAAATGGTATCGAGTATCGAATATTTTCCTTAGTATCGGTATCGAGTTGAAAAGTTTAGTATGGTGACAACCCTAATCCACACACACAATAAAAAAAAACTACATTAAATCAGATCAATGCTTTTAGATATCTAGGCTTGATGGAATTCAAATTGGACATCAAAAGAGAAAAGAAAGGGGATTTAAATGATTTTGACTGATGATTGATGGTGCCAGGTTAGCAAAATGCTGACTTTCACACACAACCTTATCTTTAGTTTATAAAGGAATGGAGTAAAAAAAATAAAAGGTTGTCAGATGAGAACAAGCAGATGGCTTGACCACAGACGGTGTTACTACAGTCGGCTCAGAACGCAGAAGTGAGTTTAACAATCGTGGGGGAAGTTTTGTTGGCACACCTTAGTACTAAATACTCATCAATAAAAACTCAGTAAACCCAATATTGCTGACCATGTTTTCTTTCCCCTTTCTGACTATGGCGTACCCATCCTGGTTATTTCCACCATGTCACAAAGCTTCAATGATCTTAAGCTGACTTAATAAACATAAAAAATTAGCTACCGGCCACCCAAGTTGGATGGGATGAGTTGGAAAGGACATTTGGATCACTAATGTGCTGCTGACAGAAATGTCAGGAATCTTTGAGGAATTCAAATTTAACTTTTAGATGAAGAACTAAAGCAGTCCCAAAGAAGAAAAAAGAGGATCCAAGCCAGAACATGTGGCTGAAAACTCTATATATGAGTACATTATAACCCAAGTTTGATCACTGCTTATGGTTTGGTCTTGCTTCTGAAAAAATATTTTTCAAACTCAAATTCACTTTGTAGCTGAGCTTTATTATCACTACAGGGCATATGATAAAGTCTAATGTCTGTGTTTAAAGCCCTTTTAAGCAATGGCACAGACTTCATAATAAGCTTTCTACAGCAGCTTACTGCTCACCTCACCAATTTTATAAATATGATGTGAATTGTAATACGACACTTCAAAATAAAACTATTTTCTCCTAACCTTAGGTGCATGATCTAAGAACTGAGACTTTAACCTCTACTTGGTCATATGACTCTGGCACATGACTGCCTTTCCACACTCTTTTTAGGAAGTGGAAAATGAGCAAAAAGACTAAACTGGGAAGTCAACAATTTAGGCTGTGTGGAAACTCTGGGGAAGCTTTACCACCTGACAGCAGCTGATCCACAGAAGATGGATAAGAACTGATTGAAAAAAGAGGGAGAAAGTGTCCCAATGTCTGATTTTACATAGGAAACCTCTTGTTCATCAAATAGAGATCAATTTAGTTTGTTGTTTTACGTTTGTTTCGTATGCAGAAGTCAAGGGACTAGCTTCATATGTTACATATATGTGATATGGTCACCCAGAACATTTTACATGATAATGTTAACTCAAAAGCAAGCAAATGTTTTAAGCTAGCCCATATGTAAACAGAAGCAGTTTTAATACCTAAAAAAGAGCAGTGACCGTCTGATGATGTGTTTCTAGCTTAAATATAAGATTTAATCCAGACTTTAGCAGTCAGGAAGGTTTTGAATCAAAATATTAGGATATGTGAGATGAATTTAAACAGCAAAGCTGAATTAAGCAGGTTTGTAACCATAATTCAGTTTCATATAAAATAATAGCAGGATGCCTCTTTAGGCCTGGTTTAAAAAAAATGCTGCCTCTACCGTTTTTTCGATACAGCTATGCGGTTTTATTTTAATGCCTCGCGCACCGAAACATTTTCTGTTTTGAATGACGAACCCAAGGAAATGAAGATAAATATAAATATATTTACCGTCCGGTCGTGAAGAGGATTTTTAGTGTCTTGCCTCAAAGGAGAGAAGCTCGCTAGTGCGGTGCGTGACAGCAAGCGGAGGTCAGCTGACTTCATTCACTCGTCGTTCTTTTTTTTTTTTACTGCAAGGCCCTGGTAACTATCGCCATTTTGGATCCACCCCCTGTACCAACGGTGGGAATTTCGTATATTTTTTAGGATTCAGAATGTTTGGCTCAATTCACATGGAATCTTGATATCTTCACAAATGTACGTACATTTTGTCTCACATTTGTCTTTTATTTTGTACCTTTCTGATGCTACAGTTACCATACATAATGTTTTGAAAAACAACAAATATTACCGAGACAAAACAGTACTCCATTATTTAGAAGCTGATTACGATAGTTCATTTAATGAGCTGGATCATCTAGCTGGCTCGGTCATGAACGGAAAACAAATAGGTTACGTTTTAAAGCTACAGTGTGTAATAATTACAGGGATATGCAGTCAGAAATGTAATATATTATACATAACTATGTTATTTATCATCATCTACGAGCTCAGCCTCTTAACCTTAATATTTGCGTTGCCTTAGAATTCGTTATTTATAATTACATAGGAGCGGGTCTCGCAGCCATGGAGGCAGACATCTTTGCGCTACGGCAGCGCAGAGCCCACAAACTAGCGATTGCGAGATCGCCCATTACGCTCGAAAGTAACTACGGCAAGTTAAGAGAGATGAACTGAGACGGTACTGACCAATAGATGGCAGTATTATGCCTGAGAATACTATCTGTAAAATTATCCATGTAAACAAACCTCATCACTTGAGAAGGTAGGTGATGCGAACGTCGTGGAAGACATTTTGTCCCGTAACGCTCGCCGTACTGTTGGGGGGGAGAAGCGGTGGGGGGGCGATGTTCATGTGCTGCGGTCTGCAGTCTGGACGTTAGATGTCGCTAAAAATTACACACTGTAGCTTTAAAGGGCAAATGCTAATTTCTTCAAATGGTTTCACATCATACATTATAATTAGAATTTTCAAAGTCAGAATAACGAGGTTCAAAAATATAACTAAGGCATACAAAATCGATCAAAAAAGTATGCTATAAATTCATTTCTAAAGTTATAATTTTAAAATCCACAATAGAAATGTGGGATCTTAAAAGTCTCGATTTTGACATTGTAATTCTTAACTAAGTTTTCCTTTTTATTCTAAATGTTATAAAATATTTTAATATTCCCTTTTTGTGTGTCTTGATTCCTGTAAATCTTGCCTTTACCCTGGTTTTAGACTTGTAGGCTTGTTTTGGTTGGACCTCTTAAACAAAAAAAGAATACTAACTCTAGGTTTAATATTTCACCCAAGTCACTTTTAGCTAATATTTGTATTATACAGCCTCGTTTATCGCCGTTTCATTGTAACATGTTATTCAGTAAGGATCAGCCTAACAGACATTACTCAGGGCATAGAGCCCGTGGTGACGCCATGGGTTCAGGGTTGACAGGCTGCCGTGCTAGCGTGTGGCGGCTAAGCTAACGGCAACCGTCGCTACATGTGGAGGGTAGAACGGGAGGCATTCCTGTCCCTGTATCATTTCAATTTCTTGATATTTACTCCTAAGCAACCATTACGTCAAGGCTAATCTCAAACAGGGATATTATTTGTGTAAAATGAAAGGGTGAGTCCAAGCTTTTTGAGCCCCGAATATGTAGCTTAGCACGACCAAAGTTTTTCATGCCTGTTTTTTTTTTTCTTTAAAAGGGAGGCGGGCATGGGGAACGACGAAGCAAACTGATAAAATGATTCTGTTCAGGTCTATAATGTGGGGGACATGGGCAACTGTAGAGTTAATGAAACATTTTTTGTCGTGTTTTTTCTTTTATCTTAAGCCGCTTTTCGGTTCACTTGCATTGCTAACATGCTAAGCTAACCAGTTAGTGCTACTAGTGGGAGGCTGAGTCAGTAAAGCTTCAAAAACAGAGCTAAGCTAAAAAGGCAGTGCTTGATTATTGGATGATTTCTAAGTATTATGGAAATATCATAACGTATTCTGTCAAATCAGAAACTAAATAATTAAAAATGTGTGTACATAGTCTGCGTATTTTAGTTGAAACTTGTCGGTATGTTAGGTCAACTTCAGCTTCCTAAGTGTAACTTGATCTGTCAAAGTAACTGCGGTATGAAGTTTTTATTTATAGCCATTCATTGTGTTATTTGTGGCCAAGATCTTATATAAGTTAAGGAGAAATAACGCTAGACTCTGAAGAGTATAACTTTTTTTTACTGTACATTCCTGTGAATAACACACGTGATCAGGAGCCCTTTCTAGATGTCCAGAGGTCCTATAAATACTACACAAGAACTCTGACAGAGATAAAGCAGAGAGTTCAGGGTCCCCTACTCTTAAAATAAATCTAACAAGTTTGATTTTAACTCTTCATAGATGTTTCTCATTAAACAATTTAACCTCAATTAAGATGGAATTTGTCATCTGCAATGTCTTATCTTGCAGTTTAGTTGTAAATCAAGTTAAAACCCAAAGCTCCATTCCACATGTGCTTCTGTTGACATCGCATAAAGCAGCAGCTCAGTGTGCTGTTCCTTTCTTTAAGAGTTTTAAATACAATTCTCAAAAAAAAAAATTCTATTCGTATTTTATTATTCATTATTCCGCATCCTGCTAGGTGTATGGTTCTTAGAAAATCATAGGTACTCACAATTATGAAATGAGCTGAGCTGAATCATCTTTTTGTAAATGTATCTCTTGCAGAGTTGGTCTGCAAAGCAAAGTAAGACACAATCCTACTACATTGGTGCCCCTCTTGTCAGCTATTTAACCGTTTTGCTCTTGTTCCAGTAGCCGGATCGAGCTGGGGGATGTTACGCCTCACAACATTAAGCAGCTGAAACGTCTGAATCAAGTCATCTTCCCTGTCAGCTACAACGACAAATTTTACAAAGATGTACTGGAGGTTGGAGAGCTTGCAAAGCTAGGTAAGATGAGTTTTAATGCTTTTGCTAATAGCATCTAAACGAAATTGACATACATAAATAATAAACTAAAGAAAAATAAAACTTCAAGGGGCTGTGCCATGAAAAAGAAAACTTATATAAAAGGAGTAAAGAATTCTTAAAATAAATGTTTTTGCCATGCACTTGAACAGCTAATTAAATGTATCTGTTACTGAATATGCATTTTGGATCATAAAGGTATAGAGGACGATCTTTTATTTCTGAGTGGATCATCTAAATAAGTGGTCCTCCTAATTGTCATTCGCTTTGGTGATATATTTATGCAAGGCCGTCCTTCGTCCTTGTTCCCATTTTCACTTACTGGTGGGGAGTCTGACATAGTGGAAAAATTGCAAATCTTCTTTTGGAAAGTAAGCTTGTATGAGTGATGCAAACAGCAACTTTTAAACAGAGCGTGCACAAGAAGAAATGGGCTCCTTCATGTTCTTGCTTGATAATAGAGTTTAATAGAGCTGCGTGAAGCAGATTTTTTTGACATAGGTGGGGTGTCAGCTTCACACAGCTGTTTAATCAGCGTTCCCTCTTGGGAGCAGGTACAGGGTTGTGTATTTGCATTTCTTTTTTTCTTTTTTTTTTTAAGTGGAGCAGTGCATCTTTTAAAAGATTCACGAAAATCCTCCACTATACCACTATAAGTGTTTCAAGCTTTTATTTCTTGTAATTTGAATGATAGTGAACTAAAGATCATGTAAAATGCTCTGCATATCTAGAACCAGAACTAAACATGGAGAAGCAGCATTTAGTTCCTATGCTCCACTTATCTGGAACAAGCTTCCAGAAAACTGTAAAAGTGCGGAAAGCCTGAGTTCCTTTAAATCAAGACCAAAAACACATTTGTTTAGGATTGCCTTCGACTGTTCTAGTTAAAAAGTTCAACTGAAACATCATTAGTTCAACTTTTTTTATTTTTCTTTAGTCCAACTGTTTTTAATGTTCTTTTTTGTGTCTGCATTTTTTATTTAATTTTATTTTTTCCTACTTGCATTGATTCTGTTTTATTTTCCTATATTTTAATCATGTAAAGCACTTTGCATTGTCTTTGTACTGAATTGTGCTACACAAATAAATTTGCCTTGCCTTGCCTCAGTAACACAATTGTCAATGAATTGGCTTAGAGTACCTTTGGAAAAGTGAACAACTCTAAAATTTTGCCTGAAATTGAAATCTTCTTTTATGTCCATCAAATTTCACTTTTGACTTCAAAAATGTTGATTCTCTTCATCCAGACTGTGCGAACCAAATGAACAACAGAATTGAGTTTGTTTTGAACAGACGTGTGGATCATTGAACAACATACCAGTTATTTTCCTCCCCATATCTGGTAGAGTACTTTTTTCCATATGCATGGTTCCTCATCTTGACTTCAGCTTCAGTCCACTCCTCATGAAGCAGCCCTAAAAAAGTATTTGCAGATTTTGCTTGAAGATCCTATTAAGGTTGTGGCAACCCTTGACATTGGTGTATTTCTTCTATTACCACACCTTTTCCTTCCACTCTTCTTCCTATAAAACATTTTTGGATACAGCACTTGGTGAACAACCAGCTTTTTAGCAATGACCTCAGTGGACCCTTGTAAAGACTACCTCTTCTGAATAAATGTCCAGTCAGCTGCCTTTAGCGTGATTCTGTACTGTCTACTGCCTAAGACTCAGTAAACATTGTGAAGATGTAAAGTTAACCAGTTAATTTTGTCTTGCAGCATACTTCAATGACATTGCAGTGGGGGCTGTGTGCTGCAGAGTGGATCACTCTCAGAACCAGAAGAGGCTGTATATCATGACACTCGGTTGTCTAGCACCCTACCGTAGACTTGGAATCGGTAAGCTGCTCCATTCGTATGTAAATAATGTGGTACTATTTGATTTTCTCTGTATATGAGTTTAAACTTTTGTTTTTTAAATATATGTTAGGTACAAAGATGCTGAACCATGTGCTAAACATATGCGAGAAGGATGGCACTTTTGACAACATTTACCTGTGAGTGTCTACAGGAATAGTTGTTTTTAATGTATGACATGTTAGTTTTGAAAGACGATTTTCAAAAAGGTGATTTAAATGTATATTATTTTGTTGTTGTTGGTTTGTTTATTTACTACTTTTCATATAAGTGAGTCAGTCTTAGGATCAA